ACACACACATTCAGCACGGTCAATTGACAGAGATGGTCACATGGGCCGAAAACTGGGACTTTGTAGGCCAGTTGAATAAAAGGAAAACTCACCTTGCCCGCAAAGACCCAGCCTCTGACACACTATCAATTGTTGCTGAATTCTGCCGCAGGTTGCGTGATCATGCGTAAAAGTGTATTAGTCTGTGTTAATCTATGGCATTTGCAGTTGATAATCGGTAAATCTCGGAAACGCGATCATGCCATCGCACATGACATGAGAAACAACGACACGGAACGCGTTCAGTTGAAGAGCGAGTCTATCCAGCCACCAGGGTCTCACTTTTTTTACCTGTCATTTTCACCATGTCCACCACCAGCCTTCCTCCACGGAGCTTCTTTAGAAAGAAGGGGCATATCGCCTGAAGAAGAACGAAAAATGTTGCCGTGTAGTGAGAAGTTGCTGCCACTCTTCACACATTATCATCACCCGCCCCCTTATTTGCGCTCAACTCCTCATGAAGACACAATATATCCACAGGGACCGCTTACAACATTCTCCCTTTGCGCAAAAGTGGACGAAGGGAAAAAGTCAATATTACGCGGTGGAACAGTGAGCCTCGTTTACTGCGCAAGCCTTTTGAAATTCTCCATGTATGCTGTTTCTGCCAGAGCGACCCCATGTGCTCGTTATTAATGAATTATCCATCTGGCTGCACATACATAGCCTATCATATTTGTACATGTTGCGCTGAAGCGCCACCGACTGGTTCCCAACCGTTCCCAACAAGCGGGATGAATTGTGTCTGGGGTCTAGAATCAGTGAGTCCTACTATGGTGAAGGCAGCTCATGAATATTAATTAAGCCAGGCTGACGTTGCTATAACCCTCCTAGTGTCCATTCACGTACCCCAATTAATCCTCGTATTTTGGTTAAACCGCCTGCTGTTTTGGCCTACTAAGGTTAACGTCACTCAACCTAGTTAATATTCAAAAGCCAGTAGGCTACTTTATCGTAGTAGGATGTATCCGCGCCCGGGACCTCCCAGAATTGGATCGTTGATGTGACTGCATATAGACTGGTGCGGAACTGTTGATGAATGCATTAGATCTTGTCATAATAAATTATGTCCTTTATGTTGATCAAACGACTAATAGGAGTTAAATCACTAAAATTCGCTGTATATAACCGCATGCATCAACGTCAAAACACATTCCAATAATAGTAGGCCTAATGTAAATCATAAATTATCCAGGATAATTGTTTTTGTTCGGTTCATTCTCATTGAAAACCAGTTAAATGATGGTTCAATTCTCACTTTTTACTACGACTTTTGCCTCAATAAACTCTTAATTAGTGATCATCAATAGTTAGATAGTTGTTAAGTTTATCGGGTAGAATTAAGACTATTATGCAGAATAAGGCATTAATATGTGCTTTATAAGTAGGCCTACTAATAAACAGGCAATATCCTGCATGCTAATGAGTAACTAGTTGAGAATTGGACCCTAAACTAAAGTGTTAATCAATTATTCTATTTTTTTTTTAAACCGGCTTAATCATTTTGGTAAAATAATAATTAGAACAGATACATTCCATACCGACTCTAGCCTATGTGAAAAGTTATTTAATGTAGCTGTATATCCTGTAATTTGGCAACAGACTGTAAAGATGATGATAGCTACACGGGGCAACTTTTTTGAGAAATGCTTGGGCAATTTCCCACTTTCCCAGGCTACTTCGGTGGGCGCTTTGTCACCTGTTTGCCCGTTGACGGCAACATTGCCCAGCAACAATGCTCAAAAAGTTACCCCGTATATCATCACCTTAAATGTATGATTTTTTTCTTCAGTTGCGAGGCAGAAGGGGTTTGATGAAGAGACTGCGGTTTATTTGGATAGATTGGATTGCTCTATTGCAGTGTGGAGCGGCTCCCTGTGGTGACACATTAATAGACACCCTAAACATTCGAATTGTCCTACTTAGTACTTTGTGTAAGAAATTATAACGGGCCTTGTTTTTATCCTCTTATTTTTAATAAGTTATACAGTATAATAAAAAGAACATACATGCGTACACAATATTTTTAAATGCTAAAATACCAATATTCCGCTTGTAAGATTTTTTATTTCCGATCTTTCTGCAGTTGACGTATTTTTTGCCCACATAATATTTAAAGAGATGGTTTTGACCTTAACAGTTGATTTACATTGAACAATCTTCAATAGAAGACACGCCCTTCACGTATGTCGTCATCACGGGAGCCGCTTCGGGCTCGCGGGCGTCGCGGCGGAGTATCGAGGATTTCTGTCATACGATACGGCGGCCGGCCCGTCATATTTTCACAAATAATCAACTGTACGAATGATAATTCACATTGCATTTGTTATTCAGCTAACATCGGCGAAGACGGCGATCCTTCGGTGAGTCTTTATCATTGTTCATCACGCTGTTTGTCAGAGCAGGGATGTCAGCTGATGATCATGTTTTCATCACCTCTCATCATTTCCTAAAGTCTTTTATCTGGCTGCTTCAGAAACTCTCGGATACTAAACCACACACAGTGCATTTTATTCAGCAGGGATGATTATTTTGCCCATTGGGCGATATATGATCGGCCTAGTGATTTGAGCAATAATGGCCTGTAACGTTACATCAGTGCAAAGTTAGATACAGTTCCTCGTAGCTTTTTAAATTGATGATTGAATCGGCAGAGGTAACGTTACTAGCTTTTGCATTGTGCTCAAACTTGTGTTGCACTGTTTCTATTGTTGTGAAGGATGTCATGCCATAATTGCGTATGTAAACATGAGGGGCTGTGAGATGTATCTGGGCTCATTCAGTCAGTGGACAGACTGGACTGGTCAATACAGTAGCAAATGATTTCACTATTACAAGCAAACACATTATAATGAAACGTCATCTCATTGAATTTGAATGAAAGTGCATTATGAATAGTAAAGGTATTACTGTATGCACCACAGGAGAGTGAAGACGCTTGCACACTTGTTCTGTTTCATAATAATAGCAACTGCATATGGCATATACAAATTCACAGAAAATAAGAGTGAAACAGCAGCTTGTTGTTAGCAGTTGCCCTTTAATGGTATTTTACGAAGGGGTCTCGTTCCAGAGAGACCAAATAAAAGTGTACATAGATAGGTTTTAAAGTGCTTTAATTTGATGTGGAGAAGTTTTGTTTATTTGTGGATGCATACGTGTACAAAGTTTTTCGGTCCCATGCTCAATGTGATTGAAGTTAAAGGAATAGTTCAAGTTCACTCAAACGAAAATTCTGTCATTGTTCCAAACCTGTATGACTTTCTTTTGTGGAACACAAAAGAAGATATTTTGATTAATGTTGTTAACCAAACCGGTTGGTGACCACCATTGTCTTCCATATTTCTAAAATTGCTTATTTTATGTTCTACAGATGAAAGAAAATGGTTTGGAATGACTTGTAGGTGAGTAAATTATGACAAATTTCATTTTGATGAACTATCACTTTAACGTTATTTTGTTTCACAGCCAAACAAGATATTGCAATAAGGATAATCACAATAAAGGCTGCATACAACATTACATGTACATTATATCCAAAGTGTTACTACTTTAGTTTGAATATATGTTTTCATTTTACCATGCACCCAGGTGTTTTTCTAAAATAATAATAATAAAAAAGTGGTCAAGCATATACTGACTTGTGTAACTCTTTGCTCTTCAGGCCTTGGCATGCTGTACCAATTCTTTTGTCTCTCTCTATCCCTCAGGGGGGAGGGGGTGGGGCGGGGTGAGTGAGGGCTGCTGTGAGGATTCCCACACTGAGGAGCAGTCACACACTCAATGGTGTCTCCCACAATGAAGGCGCTGGTGGATGCAGTTTGGGCGGTGTGGAGCATCGGGGCCTCGATCTATGACTACATCCACACCAGTGCCATGGAAGAGCGCATTCACTCACTGGAGAGTGTTATAACCATCCACCAGTGTGTCATCGGCCTTCTGTCGGCTGCACTTGTGGCTCTCTTCACCTACATTCTGCTAAGGAAGAACTGACTCAGGACTAGTCAAGCCAGAGAGACTACAGCAGTGAAGTCAGAGGGAATATGTTGGTGTCAAGCTATGTTTTGCTCACCTTAAAGGGATTTTAACATGTCTGACTTTTATCCAATTGATAACTTACTAAACTTTAGCTACTCCTTCTAACTCATTCAAATGTTGCTGCTTTATTATCAGTTAATGCGATTCCGAGTAATCTGGTAAACCAAAACAAGTGTTTCTTGATTAAAAAATAGGCTTTCACCATGGATTCCCATTATGGATTTTATAGGTTGTTCATGGCGACCAGAGGAAAGAATTCAGAGATGCTACCTGACCATGGTTTCTTTACACAAGCTTGGTGAAAGCTGAACAAACACAACAACCAGTGGATTAGCAGGTTTTTCAACCTGTTTGCTGCCATCTTCAATGGAGTCAGCTTTTGTGTCTAGCTTACTTTTAAACAACACATTCAACTTTTGCCAACGGCAAATTATAACTTTGTTAACCTATAATATCTCATACAGCTTATTTCTCAGCTCCATGGTAATTTATTAGTAAAAATCAGTGACATCGATTAAACTCTCGATTTCACAACTTGAAGTGTCCTTAATCACTAAAGAAAGGTTGATGTAGTTAACTTGGTACTTTTATCAGTGTATTAACTACTACTACTCGTCATGCTTAAGGAGTTTTTACTTTATTTTTGATGTGAAATCAGTTGATGCTCCGCTATTGTGTTTTATAGATTTAACTTTTTTCTGAAGAGGTACTTGTTACACTTGCTCTGTAATAGCAAAATGAATGTCTAGCTTTATAATGCAAAAAATGTCAAGAGTATCCTGAATTGATGCTACCTACAGGCTACATCATTTCACCAAAGTTATGTTTTTTGTAGAACTTTTGTTTTATTTGGTGTGCTGGTGTAAGCTAGGGTTTGCCAAAATACAACAAAGAATTTATTTAACATTTAAAGACAATAACAGTGTCATAATAAAATGTTTATTTCTGGAACAACATGGAAAGATCAAATGCCAGCATGTTTAAAAAAATATCAAAAAGATAAATGGAACTTCAATGTTTTCAACAATTAGGCTTTTCAAAGGTAAACTCCTGAGGCTATCAGTCAATGTGTGCTCCAGATATGATCAACACAGACACGTTAAAGATTCATGCTGGTTTTAAATGTTCCCGGTCTGCAGCAGTGTGTACTTGGTGGTAAAACGCTCAACACTTTCACCCTCCAAGGTTTTAACAGCCCTCCAGTGGAGCTTCCCACAGTTCTCTGGGTTTCCGTGCCTAGCTAACTCTTCCTTGATGTAGTCCATCCACAGATCTAAAACATCAAATAGTTGTTGTTGCTCAGTGTAATATATTAAAGTATGAAAGAGAGTTGCCTCTTTAAAGGATAAAAAGCACTGAATCACACTCACCTTCATCTGAGGAGCCGAACTCACGAAGTGCTCGCTCATAGTAATCTCTCAGATTACTCATCTTTGGTGTCACCTGAGAGAATAATACAGATCAGCAATACACTGTATGTTTATATACATGTCTGCTGGTTAATAGGACCGTCACCGGGTGCTACATCACTTTTACCTGCTCTTTCTCGATCTGAATCATCATCAGGAAGAATGCCTTAGTAAAGGGTCTGTGTTCATGTAAGCTGAAACCCAAGAAGTAAAAGAAGGGGTCGGTTTCAAACTCATTTCTAGATATACAGTGGGTTCCAAAAGTCTAAAACCGTACTGAAAATAATGATTCAGGATTTGATTATGCTTTTCCTAATTTGTAAGTTGCTTTTTTATATAGAGGTATCTGCTAAATTAATTTCAAACAAAGAAGTAAAAGCAATAAAGGGAATAAGGCATGTCAATATAAAATAGAAATATGTAAAATGCAGATGAAAATAATTCTATTAAATTTAAAATTCCATAAAAACAATGTAAAATATAAGCATTTTTACTTATGGCCTCAGCCTTTAGAGTCCCACTGTATACAGAAAGAATGAACCTTAGAGCACATTTGATGTGTACCTTGTGAAAGTTTTTCTAGCCCTTTTGTAACTACCAGTTTTGTATGACCAATCAAGGTATTTTTCCTTCATGGCAGCTGACACTGCAGGTACTGGGGACAGTAGGCCTTTCTGCAAGTATAGAATCAGGAGCAATTTAATTACATTTGATATATTAACACTGTGGACTGCATTAGAACTCAAATTCAACATGTAATCAGGACTAAAAAAAAAAAGTCAGAAATGATTAGAATGCCTTTATATTTAGCATCATCGACCGATCTTGGGTGAGTTTTAGTGTAAACTTATTTTATTATGTCATGTCCCGTCCTACCTGAAAAAAGCTCTCAGTTTCCTCTGGTGTCTGTAAGGTCATGCTCCAATCTGCTTGCAGCTGCCATAATGCCAGACTTTCCTGCAGAACACATTATACAATGATTAAATATAAAAGAGATATCATTGGGTACACAGTTAAAATATTTGTAGGTTTGAATGAAAAACATTCAACATTTTAGGATTTGGAAAAAAGGCGTAACATTATTTTCTAGGTCATTAATCAAATACAAATTTACAATTACTTATTTAGCAGACACTTTTATCCAAAGTGACTTACAAATGAGAAACCAAGCAATTCATCTTAAAGAGGCAATAACATAAGTACTACCAACAATAAACAAAGTCTTCTAATTACAGAAAAGGCAAGTTTTTAAATGCTTTTTGAATATTGTAAGGGATTTGACTTAATAAATATAATACATTTTGTGACGACCCATTTGTACAAAAACTCAATTTCCTCAATGGTCCAATCTCAATGTTCCAATGTACAATGCTGATAATATAATTCATGCAAATAAGAGCATTTGCACTACTGCTACAAGTCTTTTTGACCCCCAACGTATTACATTACATTTCACAATAGTGATGACTTCCCTTCCCTCACTACACTCCCCCTTAAAACCTCTAATTCTGTAAGAAACTGATAAAACCATTTTGTTTGGACAAAACAAACACCAAGACATCATGAAATGAAACCAGGTAATTGTGCATGCTAATATTACTCTATAGCCTCATGTTCCCATGTGGTTGGATAACAGCCTCTTTGTGGGGTTATGTAACTAAAGGCTTCATAATCCTGCACACACGGCTACTTCTCACTAGCTGGTTGACGAAAGAGTGCCAAGGACAAATGAATGTGCAAACCTGAGTTATCCTAGCAGAGGACTCATCACTTGACTTAAGTTATATATAGGCATTACTGTAGCTCAAACAGAGCATGGTGCTAGTCACACCAAGTTTAAGAGTTCAATTCCTAGGGAATGCATTAACTGATAAAATGCATGCATTAAATGCAATTTAAGTCACTTTGAATCAAATCCAAAAGTAAATGTAACTATAGTATTGTTATCCAATTATACTTAAAATATTTTAAAGAAAAAGCACTAAGTTCACTTATTAAAGTGGACTAATTAGGGCAAATCTGCTGTTGCAGGAAGATGTCCCACTTAGAGGCAGCTGTGGCACAACTGCTACCTTGGGATTCACGCGTTTCAGGGCTTCCTGGAATAGATGTCCCGCCTCTGCGCTCTCCAGATGGACCAATGTCTGGAGGCTGAAGCTCCACATCTCTACTGATTGGCTGAAGCGCTGAGTGGCTGTGATGGCGATCTGGGTAGCAGATACTGTATCCCCTGATGACAGCAGGACCTGTAGCTGTTTTTTGAGGGGATAGAAATGGCCTATATTACTACAGCAGCACCATTTGAACAAACTGCTACATGCTGCGTAAGGCATGTAAAGTGAAGGTGTATCAGTGAGATGCCAATGTTAAGTGTACATTACCCAGTTCTTGTAGTAAGTCTCTTGCAAAAGCTTGGCATCATGAGCACTCTGTAAGACTTGGAGTAATCGCTCCTTTCTCTGAAAAGTTGAATCACACAATTGAGTTAGGCACAAATACCAATACCACTGTTGTCTAAGAAAGCAAGAAGCAGCAAGCAAGCTCGAATAGTAGTGTGGCCGAATGTGTTCGAAAAGCCCGCCTACTGACCTAGTGCACAAACATTATGGGAGGGCGGTAGCCTGACGGGATTTAAAATTTGTCTGGAGACCCAAGTTTGGTTTGAAGATAAAAAAGTACCAAGCACAGCGTTCGGCATGGTCTTGCGGCTGCCAGAGCAGAAAAAAAAAAAGCTACTGCTCTCCATACGTTCTTCTGTTTTCTCCGGTCATGTTCATATGTAAATTGCGTGAGCTTATTTTTTCCATTAGATTGAAAGATCTGAAAAAACCCAGACATTTGCCCAGCCATAGACCCTCCCCTCGAAGAATTCAGGACAGAAGTGGTTGAAAGTGGACAAAAGAGACAGATAAGAATACCAGATGTAAATGGGTATGTCTCCCTTGTCTACTTGTGATCCGATCGACCAAAACGCATCTTGATACCAGGTGTAAACAGGGCCAAAGAGTGGCTCATTTCATTCACCTCAAACTGAGCTAATCATAAGAACCCCTGTAAAGGTTTTGGATATTTTCCTGAGTCACAGAAATGCACAAATTTCAAGAATGATGGGTAAGAATTTATAATATTGGTTATTGTTTAGCATGATATACCCAATTGTTTAAGTTCTCAATGTGCCTTTCACCAGTAAAGGGGGAATGACTTCATATTCACATTGTAAATGTCATTTTGTAAATCTGATTAAACATAATAGTAACACTTTATTTTACAGTGTCCTTGTTACACATTACATGTAGTTATTTTAGAAATAACTATAAATTACATGCAACTGACCCTAAACCAACCCCTAAGTACATGTAGTTAATTATTATTACTCAGTACTTAATTGTATAATTACTCCTTAACACAGACATCTTAAAATAAAGAGTAACCAACATCAAACTTCAATCAAACTGCCCAAATCAAGAAAATCCATGCTATTCTAATTAACATTATATATAAATCTCACTACGACACCCCAATAAAACACCAAGACCATTACCTTTTCCTTGAGTTCAGTGACATTTGTCTTCCTCTTATATCTCTCAAGACAGAACTTGACATAGCATGTCCACATGGCCTCTACAAAAAGAAATTGCACATCAGTAGGCACATTATGCATAGCTAGAACCATGAGAATCCACTCATTTCCACCAATGAATTCTAACTTAATATTTTTAGATGCAAACATTGAACATGTGTCTGAAGTAAGTGTTACATCATGATACCTGTATTAAGGCTCTTCAGAGCCGCCTCATAAACGGCACAGCAGCGATCTTCTCTGCGGTCTGTATCAGAAGCTCTTCCTTTCGCAGACAGGAGCTCCGGGGCACTGGCAGCATCCAGCTCACGCTTAGCCATGAAATCCCACATCAGGCAGTCATCGTTATACTTACTCTGTAGACTGAAATCAAACAGTATTCAAACATGACCACATCAACTTACTGTAAATGGATTTTGCCACTATTGGTTTCAGAGTACATTTTTCGGGATTTACAACAGTTCCTATAGCGTTAATTGTTGCGGATTAATCAGCAAAAACGATAAATAAGTCAACCTCTAATTAAGATGATCATGTAAAAACTAAGACATGAAAGAGGAAAAAAGTAAGAAATTAATCTACGTAAAAAAGCAGAGAAAAAGGGAAGACTCTACTCTTGCAGGATGGTCTCATGTAGCTCCTTTGTGAAGTCAAAGATGGCAGCGATCTGTAGCAGGGACAAGATGAATTCAGCCCCTGATGAGACAAGACCGATAACCTTACAGCACTCATCTAGTACAACCTGAAACAGTTGAGTTGAACAGCTCTGTGGAAATTCCTCTGACCTTTAATTTTTTGTGCAGAATCTCTGTATACCACCTCAGCAAGTTTTCCACTCAAGATTTCCGGAGAAAATTTATATTCCCCCTAAATTGAGAAAATAAAGGTTGTAATTTTTTTTTTAAATTGCATTTTACCCAAAGGCTCAGATCTTCACCTATTAACCCACCACATCTATTTTAGCTTGTTCCAACTCCTGCTGCTGTTTCCTCAATTTCTCAGCATGCATGAGCTCCATCCGAAAATACTGCACACACACACACACATTAATACAGATTATTGCATGAGCAGCTTATAGTGTGGACCATTTATAACTCAATGTTTTATTAGTTTACCCAGAATAATTCAAAGAGAAATGCTAGTGTCTCCTCACCTCCTGATAGACTTTCTTATTCTCTGGATGAAAGCGCAGGGCACGGAGGAAGAGATGTCGAGCACTCTCTGAAGAGTTCCTGTCCTCCATCTCACACTTAGCAGCCATTATCCACAGAGCTGCAATAATTATGAAATTACATTATTCCTGGCCATCTGTTTGAAATTGTATACACCTCTAAAGTAAATGAATATTAAGGCTGTGCAATGATTATCAGGATTAATCGCATGCAAAATTAAAGTTTGTGTTTATAATATATGTGTGTGTACTATGTATAATTATTTTGTATATATAAATACACACACATGCATGCAAATATTTAAGAAATATTTGAATGTATATACTTATATGAATATTTTATATATAAATAACACATTTTAATAACATATACATGCATGTGTGTGTATTTATATATACAAAATAATTATACACAGTACACACACATATTATGTAAACACAAACTTCTATTTTGGATGTGATTAATCATTACACAGCCCTAATAAATATGTATACTTGACACACAGACAGCCTCACAAAAATACATACGAGGTTAATACATACATATGGTTCCATAGAGCAGTCAGAGTAATATAATTGTCTATAGCAATGACAATAAATCCACTAAAAGTTTACCTGGTTTGTCCGGATGGATAGCTAACATAGATGACAAAACCTTGCTGAGCTGAGTCTTTGTGCCCTGTTTGAAAGATGAGGAGCAAGATTATGATCTTTTTTTTAAACCTAATGAAAAACATAATATAACATCATCATACCCCATTAACATGGATTTGGTGGTTTTTATTAGTTTAATAACAAAATCACATACCCATTTCTTATTAAAAGCAACCTGAGAAAGCCAGAGCTGCACGTCTTCCTACAGGAAAAGCATTTATTCAATCAAAAATTGAACATCACTTTACAGCACCTAAAGTGAGGTTATCGTTTTATATTGTACAACCTGCCATTTTGTGGTAGCCCTTCTGAAAACATTGTTTATGCGATGAATGATGGGATACTCAATTTCTTCGCGTTTAAAATGGTAACCAATTCTCTGTAAACACAACGGTACAGTTCAGTTAAAGTACAGTGTAGCGCAGGGGTTATGAACTCTGGCCCTCGAGGACCACTTTCCTGCAGAGTTTAGCTCCAACCTTGATCAAACTGATCTTCCTGTAATGTTATACTAATCCTGAAGATCTTGATAAGCTTGATTAGATGTTTGATTAGGGTTGGAGCTAAAATCTACAGGAAAGTGGACCACGAGGGCGAGAGTTGAGAACCCCTGGTTTAGGGTAACATAGGTCTTTATTACTAAAAAAAAATAATTTTACAATTAATGGACACCAAAGCTCTACTCACCGCCCGCCTCTTCTTGATGAGTTCTAGGACGTTTATGTCATACTGATGAAGAACAAAAATCAAACCAGCTATTATAAGTCATATATAAAGTTATTTGGACCCTGCTGCTGCTGCTTAGAATGGTTATTTACAAAGTACAACCCATCCTGATGTAGATAACTAATATGTATACTGATTATTTGTGTGATTCACAAAATAAGTCAATCAGCTTTTTGATAATACAGACCTGTATGTATGTAATAAAGTCATCTTTACTCTGAACTGCCCGGTGCAGCTTGTATTCAAGAGCAGTAGATCTTTTCAACATGGACCTGAAACAAAAGTCATGTTTGAGGAAACTGTTTCAGAGAAGAACCACTTTTTTTTTCTGTTAGTGTGTTTACTGTTATACTCACTTGACTTCTTTATTCGTGAACAAACCGACTCTCTCCAGCTGTTCAAGCGCTGGTATTTTGTCCTCTAATCGTTGTTGTACAATGTCAGCCATTTCTAAAGGTTGTGAAGGAAATCTACACAAAATGTTTAAGATATTAAGAGTTTTAGTAGAATAACGAAAACTGACCAAGTTCACATCACATCACGACACACGTGTGGACGGGAAGTTGTATGCGCTACATCCGGTTGCTCATCAGAAAAAAAACTCCGACGAGAATTCTGCACACGAATGATGGATCCTCGGTTTTATTTTTAAAAGCTCGGTGTTTTAGGGAAACATTAATAATTACGTCTATTTTCCGTTTTTGGGCACGGTCGCGGAATGGCGATGGACAAAAGCTGTCTATAGTTTTTCACTCTATCATTTGATTCAAATGTTGCACACAATCATTATGTTGGTACATATTTTTGTTCTTTTTATTTGACATGATAATGTACAATATATGATTTACTAAAGCTCTCGATATATTTGATTCTGCCCCGAGTCGTGTCTCTTCGCAAAACCAAAACATTCTTGGCGGCAATTTGTCTCCTCTACCAATCTTAATCCCGCGTCTATCAAGATCAGTCAGCCCAATAGAAAACCTCGAATTCACCAGCCGACGTCTCTGATTGGCTGCCACGATGCAGTAGGCCGGTTCTCGCGGCTCTTTCCTCAAGGGCTCGGGCGATACAGTAGTACCGATGTCCATCAGTTGGTAGGATTTTCACATCCAAAATAAATGCAATTTCGGTCGTAAATAACAAATATTTATTAAACCTTAACGTTTATCTAAACCGGAAAGTGAACGGCTGTCTATATGGCTGGATAACCTGATGTTATTTAACTGTGTTTTTGTCGCCGTGAAGAACCGCAAGCTAACGTGCTAATTTTCATCTGTTGAGGATCAGTGACCAAACTGAGGACGCCCATCAATAACATATTTACAAGTCATATGTTGTACTCATATGAGTCATATTAAAACACGTACTAGTCAGAGAGACTAGTAACCACCGGTATCTGATGTTTAGGTGATGGTAGAGAGCTGGTTAAAGGAGCTAGGGCGGCTGTCTGTCATTAATGTGCAGATATTCATTTCGCCTGGTGTTGTTTTTGTGTAAAGTTCCGGTTAGTTGTTAGTTTATGATGGCTCCTCAGAAATACTCGGCTCAGGTGATGAACTGTAAAGCCAATGGTGCTGTATACCCGTCCTCTGGCGTGAGCTCACTCAAGAAGCCCAAGATGGAGCAACTGCAGGCCGACCATGAGCTCTTCCTGCAGGCCTTTGAGAGTGAGTCCACGTCCGTCTCATTTAGCACACAAAGTTAAACCATTAGCTCTTCCTGAAGGCCTCTGAGAAAATACATTAACAGACTCGCATCTGTCAAAACACTTGATCATGACAAATTGCTCTGTTATTAGATACGTGGAGGGTTTGCACATGAGGCAACATTTTATTACTATCTCTAATAGCAAGTAATAACTGATTTTGATAGCAGCTACTTAAATCCCTCCATTTTATTGTAGATGAAGGCTGTTAAAACGACAGACACAAGATGTCACTTTACAGAATTAACTTTAAAATCAAATAATTAAAATAATTGTTAATACTTTTGCATTTTCCCTTCAGAGCCTACTCAAATTTACAGATTCCTTCGAACAAGGAACTTAATAGCTGTAAGTATACCTTTATAAGTTAATCAAAAGCCGTAACACTGAATTTACATTAACAGTAAAGTTGATTCTGGTTGTACTTGGTTTTATTTATTTTTTCTTGCTCTTTCACAGCCAATATTACTTCACAGGACCCTTACCTTTATGACTCATAGAAACTCACGAACAAATGCCAAAAGGTGGGTCCTCTCAATGTTTTAATAATGGTTACCCAAATATCTACTTTGCTTAGCTCTCTTAAAGTGTGTTTTGAATAAACTGGTCTTTTTTTTCTTCAGGAAAGCATTTAAAGTGGATGACTTGCTGTCCAGTGTGGAGAGAATGAAAGGGGAGCCAGAGTCTCAGAGGTATTGGTTTTCTACTGATGTTTTGCAAGCTGTGTTCTTACAAAAGTGTAAGAAATCCTAAAGGCTAGAATACACTACACAACTTTTAAAACTTTTTGTAAATGGTTACAGAGAAAAACTGGAGATAATTTTTTTTCACTAAACAACTGAGGATCACACACTACCAGTCATTCCGAACACAACAAAGTAATGCAGAAACGTGTGCCTCATTGCTACGAGACACATGACAAATGTAAACAATGTTTTCCAAAACTGGCTCAAAATATCAAACATGTTTGATTTCCTATGACTGGATGGAATCATAAGCCGCTTTTCCACCATCGGGCAGAACAGTTCTCATTGCGTAACTGTTCCATTCCGTGCCGATCCGGACCAGCCGGTATGGTTACGGTTTCATTTTCCACTGTGGGGCTGATAACCGTTCTTTGGAATGTAATACAAAAGCGTAAGTCGTTACCTTGGTAACGTAAGAGTTTACGATATGACATGTAAATAGCAACCGCGTTATAGAGGATGATCTGATATTTCTTTTAATTTTATTATTAATTTGTGTTTACGTCGCTCAAATAGAGCGCTTAGCCAGCTACAGAGAAACTGGTAGCCAGGCAACAGACAAGTGACCAATTCTGAGTTGCGACGTTACTTCACAGATTCTACCAGCACGGTTAGCCAAACCTGCCGAGAATGATTTGTAATCGTGCCGTACTAGGCTCAAGTGGAAACACAACCGGAACCGTTCCTTACCGTTCTTGGAACCTTTCGACCCGGCAGCTGTAAAAGCTGCTATAGTCTGAATATTAAAAAAATGCCCATAATACATGTAGCAATTTTCTGCTAAATCTGTCAACACCAACTGCCCAAATTTGCCGATGGTTCTGACTTTAAAGGGATAGTTCACCCAAAAATGAAAATTCTGTCATTTAATTACAAACCCTCATGTCGTTCCAAACCCTTAACGACCTTCGTTCATCTTCGGAACACAAATTAAAATATTTTTGATGAAATCCGATGGCTCCATTGACAGATATTTAATTAACACTTTGATGGCCCAGAAAGGTAGGAAAGACATTGTTAAAAATGTTCCATGTGACTACAGTGGTTCAACCTTAATTTTATAAAGCGACGAGAATAATTTTTGTGTGCCAAAAAAACGAAATAACGACTTTATTCAACAATTTATTCTCTTCCGTATCAGTCTCCATGGTCACGAGTGCGTGTGTGGTGATGACCAGAAGCTGGCATTCTGACATATGACCAGGAAACGCAGGGCTGTGTTTACAAGCAGAGGAAGACACATGCTCAACATAACAACAGTTCATAACTACGTCTGCAGATTTCGACAGAGAGGATGAATTACATTTTTTTTTTTTTTGCACAACCTTATTTATTCGAACCAGAATATACAGAGAACGAACTAAAAGAGATAGAAGAGGCTGCAACACAACCACAGCCACAGTCTTCTGAAAGATAGAGAGCAATGGAGAGCTGGTGGTGTAGATGTCATCAGTGCCAAGCGATGCCTACTGAACAGGAGAGTGTGTGCTGCATCCATTGTGATATTGTCATGCCACATTAGGGGTGGGCGATATGGCATATCCTCTTAACCAGCGCCCCATTTTTTGAGAATTTTCTGAAAATGACATACCCAAATACAAATGTCTGTAGCTCTTAAACCCTATGGTCCACATTCATAACTCTGATCTTTTTTTAAACTAGACACTTGAAACTTTGTTACCCAAGAGTCATTATTACTCAAAGTAGCATAGGAACAGAGTAAAACAAGGTAAAATTTACATGAATGTGACTCACGATTTCTTTTAATTAACTTCACTTAGGGAAAAAATGATCAGACTTTTATGTTAAGGGCCTGAAAACACCATAAAGATAAAATTGAATGTCTGACCATGTTTAGATTCAAATTTGAGGATGATACTCCCAAAAATGTAGTTTCTGTAAGCTTTTATTAAAGAAAAGTATAGGCGTCCTTTCCAAAATGCAATTTGGAGACTCCAAATGGACACCTGGCACCCAAACACTTTACATAGGGAGTAAACACTATAGGTCTGCAACAACAATTCAGAACTGTTATGCCCTTCAAACCACACAAGAAAAAAACGATTTCAGCACAACATTTGAACATTTTACCAAAATTATCTTTATTTTGAACAATTCTAATAGCAAAAACAGTGATTTCTCACTACATGTATAGACATTGCAGAAGTGTTCATTTTCCAACTAATGTATAAAATATATAAAAAGAAAAACATAAATGTTTTAGAACATTTGTAATTACAAACGTGGTTTTTACCCAAATAAATTGCAATAAACTGATACTTATAATGAATATCCTATTACTTCCTGTTGCTCTTCGTCATTTTCTGCAAAAAAACCTTCAAATCTCTTCTGTAGTCGACGATCCATGATACAGATGCTCAGATATAAGCTTTAGAGTAAATCCGTGCATTTATGCAAGCTCCATGTGTCAAAACATCGCGTTTATGTGTCTGTTTACATTCTGGTCGGCTGACTATGTGTGTGCGTGCTGCGCGCGTGGCGAAAGCGCACATGTGAATGAAAACTTTGCGCAGTTGAATTTGACGAATGTGCTTGCATGAACTGTCTATCACTGCAATCGATTTTAGTTGGCTAATACTCCCATCAATCAAAACGTAGCTCAAAGGACATTGGATAGCATTATCCAGGCTTTTATCCAGTCGAAAGCCCAGCTGCGCGATGGACAGCGCGCTCAGCCTGTCAGGGACTCTCTTACTGTTTTGGTCTGTAACAGAGCCTGTGATTGAACGAGAGAGAAGTAGGATGTATCATTCGATCCGGAAGAGTCTAAACTGCGGGGGTGAGATGGCTTTTGAGTGTTGGAATATGGATTAGAATCGATATTTCTTTGAAAATGAACATGATGCGAACTCTATCTCGAAAACGCTCATGAAAACAAAGGAGGATATTTCATTTTTTTCCCCTATTTTTCGTTGTTTTGGATTAAAAAGTGGGATGCATTTTGAAGAGTGGACCCTTACATTGAAATGTATGCTGTTGTTTCTTGGATTCTTCCGAACTGATCTGAACCATACGAGATGAAAGATGAGTATAGCGGTTCATTTTGCTCATTTTCAAATGAGCAGTCCTTTTGCATTTTATTTAACCCTTTCCTCTCTGGTGTATTGATTGCAAAAACAAGTCTAGAACATGGTTCTTGAGTGTTTTAGCTTTCAAATGATGCATAGTTTATGATAGTCAGATGAATATTTGTTATAAAACAAAGCTTAAAAAAGGTAATAAAAGTATAGCCACGCCCTCGACGGCCCGCTCGCGGGCCGATGCGGGTTAAGAAGTTAAATATTACGCTATCATTATTATGATTTTTTCAGGAAAATCACGATTCACGATTTTATTATCACGATTATTTTTCAAGTTGGTTTTAGTATTTTGCAAGTGACTGAGCATTACAGCCAAACAATGTCCCCATTTTAGAAACAAAGCCTTAGGTAACAAAATATAAAATAAAAAAAGAATGGCAGACATTTAGGTCAAAGTGGCAAAGATACAAATCTTTGTCATTATTTTCTTTGTTAAAAAAATAAGAACAAAGATACACATTACACAACTTAAAGCTGCAGCCCGTAGTTTTTCCTCTTTGTCGCCGTCTCTGTTAGAAATCTGCAATTGCAGTTATTCGCGGAATTATCAACTTTACGTGGGTTGTGCCTCGGCACGGCCCAGCACGGATGAATCCAATGTTTTGAAGAGAATGTGCAGCTGTCAGTCGCCGCGCCGGTGTGGATACTGTCATTCGGAATCACAGATTCTACTTTTTGGAAGTATGACCAACATAAGAATTTTCACCGGAAAATGTCATCTGAACAAGTAAGTAACATCCACTTTTGTTCTGACCAACTAAGGGGAAAAAAGCATTGCAGTAGATCGCGCTGATTAAATCTAACGATCACTTATCATATCACGTCAAACCGTGCAAATGATATGTTCTCAAATTGTTAATGTTAACAACATCAGCATTGCGTGACTACATTTAATGTGTCTTAGGGCTACCTGTAGTTTAGTACTCCGTAACTATGAATTAAGCGAACAAGTGCGCTATTGTTACATAATTTAACCATTGAAATGTCTTGCCTCTCCAGCAGAAAAAAGCTGTCTCTGTGTTCGTTTTGAACCCCTTCAAAACATGTAGTTCACGCCACCTTTCAAAAGCCCTTCCGATATATATATATATATATATATATATATATATATATATATATATATATATATATATATATATATATATATATATATATATATATATAAATATATAATATATATAAAAATCTACACCTCCAACATCCTCACACGCAATATAGCCTACTAGCCGGGACTCCTTTATGTGTACAGATGTGACGTAATGACACACAGACATGCTCGAATCTCCCACGGAATTCCACCAGTACCACTGGAATTAAAAACATTATTACAAGCTTACCGTTTTGAATCGAACTAAGGCAAGCAGATAGTTTTGAACACTGGCTAGTTATTTACTTGCTCAATTTATTTTGGATTATTTTTAACCCAAAACAGTTACGGACTGCAGCTTTAATATACAAACAGTGCTTTATTTTTTCAGATACAGTAAGTGTATTTAGCAGTAGCATTGAAAAAAGAAATTAAATGAACAAATGAAATTAAAACACTACAGACTTCACAGTATAAATTATACATTGATTCTTATTAAAGCTACTATTAAAGTTCTTAGTCAGTGAGTGATTTTCTCTGTGTTTTGTTGTTTTATTAACATTAAAGGGATAGTTCCCCCCAAAATGTAAATTGTCATAATTTACTCTCAAGTTGTTTTAAACCCGAATAAGTTTCTTTCTTCTGTTGAAAATAAAAGTTATTTTGAAGAATGTGGGTAACTAACAGTTGCTGGTCCCAAGTGTATAGTTTTTTCTCCTATGGAAGTCAATGGGGACCAGCAACTGTTTGGTAACCCACATTCTTCAAAATATCTACAAGTAATTAATACAGGTTTGGAACAACATTAGAGTGAGTTAATAATGACAGAATTTAAATTTTTCGGTGAACTATCCCTTTAAGGACAAGCGGCAGCATGTTTACTATTAGGCTACTGTCGCTTTAAGACCGGCACGCGACGCATTTAATATAACGCGCACCAGATTTTCTCTCAAATGTTTGTCACTTTATACATAACCAACTGTTTATGTAAACCTTGTGTGTATTTGACAGTATTAGTGCAATGAGACTCTAAAGATAACTTAGTCCGGTAATCAGGCGCCGTTTGACAGGCTGTTAGCTCCTGCGCTTCAGGTGTACACGCTCAGAAAAGCGCACGTTAGAACGCTAATTAAATGTTTAACCGGCAAGGCTTTAAAGTACATGCAAATAATGAACTTTAGTGAATTGCTGTGTCCCGTACCTCAGCATTAACGTGTGATGTGTATGTACGTAGCTGTTGTATGTTGAGACGGAGGCGCCAGAACTGCAACTGATAGAATGCACTACAGACGTAACGTAGAATGCATGTTACAGACGTAACACGACGATATTTCCTCAAAAGCAGATGTTGAAGACATTTTAATCGTCCCCATTCAAAAATCATATCATCGCACACCCCTATGCCACATCTTGAAAGTTTGGATAATTCAGACGATGAGACGACACATGCATCTTGCTTTATAACAGAAGATCCCGGCTTTCCACACGCATGCGTCGTGCTCTCGTGAACGAGCGTCGAAGACTGATACGGAAGAGAATAAATTGTTGAATGAAGTCGTTATTTTGTTTTTTGATACAAAAAAGTATTCTCGTCGCTTCATAATATTAAGGTTGAACCACTGTAGTCACATGGACTATTTTAACGATGTCTTTCCTACCTTCTGGGCCTTCAAAGTGTTAATTAAATAACTGTCAATGGAGCCCCTGAGCCATCGGATTTCATCAAAAATATCTTAATTTGTGTTCCGAAGATGAACGAAGGTATTACGTGTTTGGAACGACATGCGAGAGTAATTAATGACAGAATTTTCATTTTTGGGTGAACTATCCCTTTAAGCTAATAGCGTTGATTTGGGACAAAAATCTGTGCAAAAGTTATGATAAAAGATAGAGACAGCAGTTGAGCTTTGGAAAGGTGCTTTATAAATACAACTACTTGTTGTTTTCAGAATGACTGTGCTTTAGAGCGGCTAAATAGTTTCAATGGAAAACTGTTTTAGGAAAATGTTATAGGATCATTTGGTTCCAAATGGTGATTTTTAGTTGTTTTATTTGTGATTTCAGTGTGACTTCACATCTGCAACTGACATTCACCGGATTTTTTCACAAGAATGGTTAGTCTAAATCTGCCAAAAGTGTACCAATGTGTCTGAATTATCTTAATGTAAAATTACCATTTTAGAGTTCTATTATAATTTTTTTTTTTTTTACCAGATAAGCCATGTCAAAACTCAGAAAATGATCAAAACTCAGTCTCACTTGAGGTGCTACTTGTCAAAGTCTGTCATAAAAAGCGCAAGGTGAGCTTCTCTTTACTTAAATGTGTTATTACATTAAAATATACAGGTGATGAAAACAGTAGTTAAAAAAAGTATGCCAATTTTAAGATCATAACCTTTTTTTGTTATGATGGTCTTTTTCTCCCTCAGGATGTCAGCTGCCCTATAAAGCAAGTGCCTACCGGGAAAAAGCAGGTGCTTTTGAACCCGGATCTCAGTCAAACCAAGCCTGGTGCCTTCCCTTCCCTGCTGGTGTCCAGCAATGAGTTTGAGCCCAGTAACAGTCACATGGTCAAATCATATTCTCTTCTCTTCAGGGTGTCTCGCACAGGGAAAAGAGACCCCAATGGTTTCATCAACTGTGAGGCGGATGAGAATATCGGTGAGTGGCAGTGTAGGGAAAAGAAGTGTAGAATGCTGTGGAAAAGCTCTGCGACCATCCTAATCTGTTTCATGGCTTGAGTGCAAGTTAAAGGGATAGTTCATCCAAAAAAATGGAAATGCTGTCGTTTACTCAAATGTTCCAAACCTATACGACTTTCTTCTGTGGAATGCTAAACAAGTTATTTTGAAAAATCTCTCTTTCTTGTCCATAAAAAGTCAGTCACTGGCTTTTGACTCTCATTATATGCACAAAACAGTTTTTCAAAATATTGTGTTCAACAGAATTAAGAAAGTCTTTTGGACAGGTTTGGAATGACATGAGGGTGAGGAAAAGATTTTTTGGGTGAACTTTCGCTTTACTGTCCATGAATCAAGGAGAGGGATGACAATTTAAGTAGTATCATTTTTTTCAGAAAATCTGATGGTGAGTGACTGACTGAAATCGAACCTTTTCTGTCATCTGTCCATGATGATGCATGAATTGGTGCGAAGAGCAATTAAAGTTAGCACCCTACATTTTCAAACATAGTCAATACACTTAACTGCGCACTGCCCACTGCAGTTTTTGTAGCCTCAGCCTCACAAATGCAAGGCCGGTACAAAACAGTCTTGATGCTTTTATCTGTAGATGTAAAAGAAGAACTCCCATCCAGAAAGAAGAGATCCTTATCCCACAGGGGTGACGGAGAGACCACAGAAACGTTTGTTGCTCAGATGACTGTTTTCGATAAAAACCGGTTTGTAATTTCAGTGCTTTTGAAAGCTTCATATCACTTAGAAATGCCCGAAAAATATAGATGCTGTTCACTGTGACATTCATGATAACACAATTGCCCTTCAGACGGTTGCAGCTGCTGGATGGAGAGTATGAGGTTTCCATGCAACAGATTGAAGACTGTCCAGTCAGCAAGAAGCGGGCCACATGGGAGACCATCCTGGATGGAAAGGTTGGTTATATCTGCTAAAAATAACTTTCCTGTCAAGCATTTGAACTTCTGAACAAAACAATTGTGGAGTTATTTGGCAGTCAAACATAAATGCGTTATAGAGCATTATAAATATGCGTACATTTTTTATTATTTTATTTTTTAAATTTATTTCCTGCTTTAAATCCCATATTTTAACAGCTGTATAGATTTCATTCAGTGGCGATGTAGATTGTAATTGTTGATTCTTGTATTTTGAAGAGGTTGCCCCCATTTGAGACCTTCTCTCAGGGACCCACTTTGCAGTTCACCCTTCGTTGGACAGGTGACCCCAGTGACCCTTCAACGGCCCCTGTAGCCAAACCTCTCTCCACCCGCAATTCTGACACCAGCACCACAGAGAGCAGACCCAGCACTCTCCGACCTGCACCTGTTGGTAAGGAAGCAAAGATCTGCCTGATCTTGCAAGGTTTGGCTGCCTGATGGCCCTGGGCCAGTGTAAACGATGCTCAGGACAGTTGACGGAACTGTCTGTTTCCCGATCTAGCCGATGCTGCATCGTGATGAAACTTTATCATTTGCACTTGTTTTTAAGCCTTGCCAATTTAATCAATCAAGCTCAAGAAAAGTCGGTACTCGCTGTGTTTCTTGTTTTATGTGTGCAACGCACATCCGAAGCACTAATTTTACATTAGATTATTCAATTTCTCTACCTAAAAACTACTGTTGGACATCCCTGAAAAACCTGAAAAGCAAAGTTTATTTGTTCTATTGTAATTATTTGTGCTATTGCTCGTAATTTGATTATTTGTTCTAATTTAATGACTGACCGTTTACTTGTCTGTAACAATATTTGAAATTTATATGAGTAAAGTCAGGTGAACACTATGATTTATAATGGTCCTTTACGATTGTTGCTTGTCAGACTCAGGGCTCAACGCTAAGGATTTTTTCTACTGGCCGGTCAGTCCAGTGGTTAATTTTTACTTGCCCTGCCAAAATTTTCACTGGCCCCACAACAAAAAATTAATGAAGTAAAAGAAAATGGGCCTTTAAAATAAGCCTAGTATTATTGTTATTGTTATATTTGATGCATGTAACCATAATAAATAAGGTTATGACATCAAAAGCTACTAGATTAACTCATTTAAACAGTAAGTAATAGGGATGTAACGATTCACTCATCTCACGATGCGATACGATTCACGATACTGGTTTCACGATAAGATTTTCTCACGATTTTTTTTACAAATGAGATTTAAGACAAAAGTGTCCCTTTTATTATTTCTCTGACAAAATGCTGCACATTTCTTTTTAATTTAAAATATATTTGTCAAATAATAAAACTACATTAAAAAAATTCCCTTCAAGGTTGTTTCAACTCAGTCTTTCTGTCTGTTTGGTCAAGAGGCTGGACTCGCACACTATGTAAAAGACTGTAAAATTAGTACCAGATTGACAGGGGTTTTACATTGTAATAAAGGCAAGATTCTAATTTTGTTATAATTTGTATCATTACACTAGTAAGAGTAAAAAAAAAACACATTTAGAGAAAGAGATAGTAAAATAAATACAACACCTGGTTGCCATGGAAACACTGATGCACCTTGTGATCTCTCCGTGGCTCTCGCAATTGTCGTATTAAAGACCCACTCTTTTATCTGAAAATAATGTTTTTCTAGGTGTTAACATGTTCTTGTGGCATTTTTCTGATGTTAGAGGACATATCTTGAGAAAAATAAGCTCAAAGTTGTATTTCTGAGTATTTCTACATTCAAATGGCTGTGAATCAGTAGCAGACGCTAAAATGCCGGCTAAAATAGACTGGAGTTGTGACGTAGTAACTCCACTGGGCGTCTCCACACGCGACGTCTTGGAGTGAAATAATGATCGGTGATCGGTGATAACTTTGATTAACTTCGGATAATAATAATTAACGTGTATATAATACCGTTGCCCCACCGGTATTGGGGGTGTAAGCTAGCGGAAGAGACAGAGCTCTCAGCAACGGTCAGGGGGAGGGTCGTCTCCGTGCCAACGGCTCCGCCCACAACGCAGAGGCGAATTGCTAATGAGCTACTGCCGCTCTGCTGAAGCGAAGTCCCAGAAAACGGCACAGGTTTTGTGATTTTGGCTAAAAATGGCATAATCATAATTTAAAGACCACTGGGAATGTTTAAAAATAGCTCAAAATATGATAGGAGTGGGACTTTAATGACTTTTACATGAAAACGGAGGTGACTGGTGCTTCTCGCGGTGGTGATTATTATTAGTCTACGGAAAGTCAAAATGCCACCACACCTCCGATTTGAATGAGTCCACGTCAACATCTACGCTTGCCGTCGCCATGTCTACTGTTTGACGGCGCGTGCACACCAGTCTATGGCACACACTGGTGCGGCGGGAGCGGAGCAAACCGAGCGTTTTCAGTTCATTCCTATGGAAGTTGAGCTTGGCTCACACAAGATCAAGTTCCATGAATGAAGTGAAAACACTCGCTAGCTTCACGCCAGTGTGTGCTGTATTGTGCCTGTAAAGCGAGGTTCACAACTTCACAGTAGGCTATACAGTAAACGCGCCCTGCTGTTTAAAACGTGTATCGCGATTCGTTTAACATTTCAACCGACTTGAATCGTCACACATTTTTTCCGATTTTCAACCGGTTGCAAGTGAATCGTTACATCCCTAGTAAGTAATAAAATGGGAACAAATAATCAAAATAAGAGCAATAGCACAAATAAATACATCAGTAGAAACATATAAATGAAATAAACGGTGCTTTTCAGGTTTTTAATGTAGGTTTAAACAGGAGATTTTCAGGTAGAGAAATTGTAATGTATAACTAGATCAACCTTTATTAAAGTTAATCAGTAAAGAGCACTTAAAGATGCATAAATAATGTTTGAATACTGTTATTTGAAATTAATTTAAAAATGAAAAGATACTTTAAATGTGAAATTGAACCCGCCAGGAGGTAGCAGCAAGTCACTGTTAATAAATGAGTCATAGAGATTCAACCGATTCATTAAAACGGCTGATTCATTCGGGAAGGAAGCATTTTACAGTCATTGATCATTGATTCAGCTGATTCGTTCAAAAAGCGGATTCATTCAGTGAAGATAAATTGTCGTGTGTTGCTCAGAGACGCAAAACACTGCTGTGGACTTTTTTGGTACTGTTTTCGTTGGCGAAATAGAGCGAAACAAGCAATTTGATGTCTAAAATGTAACTCGCTTAATATTAACTTGTATAAAATCAATGTCACGTGTGTAATCATGCTGATATTTGAAGAAAAACAGCAAAAACGTGTAATATTGTTTAACTATATTAAATTATATAAATATATAATTATTGTCGAGCCCTGCAGACTGTACGATCATGATCCTCGCTGTAAGCCATGTCACACTGTAAGATCTCAGTTGTCATTAAAGGGATACTTCACCTCTGGAAAGATGAATGTGTATTTAAAATGGGTCATTTATGTAGAAGAAATGTGAAATTATTTTTGAATTTGGAGCTTTCTAGACTGAGAAAAGCCAGAAAATGTATTTTTAGCTTATGTGGATGAAAGACAACAACTCCCAGAATGCACTTGCTTCGCTGCCCTAGGAGGCCACGCCTACCGGTAACAGAGCGCAGTAGTTAAACAACAAGTCTAGGGTACTAGTGAGTCTCTGTGATGAGTCTGCCCAGGATTTCGAGATCGCCCAAAATGTCCGGGATTCGGCTTTTGCGTTCTACAGTCACCATTCATTATGTTTACTGTGGCGAGCAGGACGAGACTGAGGGCCGCGGGAGAACGACGCGAGGCCGGTGGCGTGATTACTGATGAGCGACACCTGTGAGACGCACCGGTCTCGTATCTCTCACGGAGGAGCGGGAATTTTCTTAGCAATGTTAAAACGCACATCAACCGATCACTTGTTTAGCGTTCATGTAAACACTACATTCAGATTCACCAATCGGAATGAATTCAGTTAGATTGAAACAAAAGGTGTGCATGTAAACAATGAATGGCGACTGCAGAAAGCAAAAGCTGAATCCCGGACATTTTGTACGATCTCGACGGCCGGACATGTCCAGGAAAAAGAGGATGGTAACCCCTACTACTCAGCTTTCTCCTACTAAGTTACTCAGCTTTCTCCACAGAACAAGAGCCTGCTAGCTTAGCTTCCAAAAAAAGATGGCTGACACTATGTGTACATTCTGTGAGTGAGATCCCACCCTCTATGGGCGGGTTGAAAACATGCAGAACAGCCCCTACTACTGGCTGTAGTCTTTAGCCTCTGGCCAAAAAATCCTCCGATGACGCAAAATGACGATTTTTGCGTCATCGGAGGATTTTTTTCCAGACAAAAAATACATAAATCTCTCGTCTCAGGGGGATATGAGGGTGGAAAGCACGGTAATTTAAAAATACTACAGGTTTCCTACTAATACAAAGCTTAATGCGAAATCCTGAAGTATCCCTTTAATGTCAGACTGTACGACAGTCAAGACGCGGTAAAATGTTTTTTTTTTTTACAGAGTTTTACGTCATCAATCAATGACACGTTCAGTGACAGTGAGCTGCATTACACGTGGGATTGAAATGGTGCCTACAAAGAAATCTCTAACGTAAATTTTGGTCATGGCTTGTCTTGGAAAACGAAGACAATTTGACAGAAGTCACACTGCAGGACTGTAAAGCTTCTGACACTGCCAGAATTTCATCAGTGGTCACATTTGATCGCAACGGTCATTAATCAGCTATTGGTGAACGTGTCAAACTAATGATCAAAGACTTCAGATTTTAGCCTAGGATCTGAGGAATCTTTTAGGATTTGCAAAATTTGTCTCAGACAGCCAAAGTATGGCCTAAATCATACAGTGTGAACCCGGCTTTAGGCTAGTAGTGTTTGGTGTCATGATTGAGGTTATAGGTAAAAAAAACAAACAATAATAACTAGTTTTTTAAATTTTTATTATTACTTTCTGTGGTGGGAACAGTGAACATTTTGGCAGGCCAAGTAAAAATTTTAACCAAGAAAAAATCCTTAGCGTTGAGCCCTGTATTGTATAAGTTTGTTATGTATAAGTTTGTTAGCAATCATGGCCTGCTTGGTCTGAAAACATACTAAATTCTTACTCTAATCTAACATAGTGGATGATCTGCCTTTTTCTTATACGTAATATAATGGTGAAATATAGTTGTTTAATGTTTTATTCTCTCAGCGGTGAAGGATTCAATGAGCACCAGCATACAGACCAGAAGAGAGCTGTCCCCCTTTGAACCCAGACAGAAACTACGCATCTTTTACCAGGTAGATATTTTGAACTCTTTATGATGATACATTTATGTATATTGCACTCTTTAAAGGGACTATATGTTAGAATTTATGTATTAATTACTTTTTTTTTATTGCCAGTTTGTAAACCGCTTGTAATGAAACTTAATTTATATATTTTTGTATTTTATTAAATTTCGTATTTTTGAATCGTGAATCGTTTTATTTCGGTCAATAATCGATTTAAAATGCTAAGAATCGAATTAAGTCCATCCTTAAAAATATTCTTGTTTGCCGTAACCCGACCGACCCTGTCAATTTAGGACCGACCCAATTATTTATTTATTTTTCCTTTTAGTCCGACCGACTTGCCGGTTGTAAACTTGCGTTAAGACTGACCGATTTTTTTTTTTTACTCTTCAAACAACTAATACAAATGCAAAAAATTATATTAAAGAGGCTATATGCGTTTTTCTGAAATTTAAACTCGCGACTGACACCTGTGGCCAAAAAACAGAACTGCTCTTCCTTTCTGCTCGCTCTCGTACGTGCACAGTTCACAAGTCATCTGCTGCAAGGAGGTCAACATTATGTTTACAGAGGTAAGAACAGTCAAATACATATATTGTTTGAGATAAGTGCTGGCAAGCGGTGGTGGCAGAGTGATCTGAAACGTTTAACATGAACGCGCTTGACGTCACATCCGCCGACAGCGCGGGAAAAATCCGACCCGACAGAAAATAGGAAAAATAGGATACAGGCTTATAGGTGCACCCACTGTGAGCGGACAAGGTGTCAGTATGCTCAACAGGAGATGTTTGAGTCATAAATGGTAAAATAAAAAGGCTATTGTTACGTTTATTTTGGGGAAAAAGTTATATATAGTCCCTTTAATTATATTTTAGTAAGTATTGTGAATATAACTTGCGTAGGCTACGTTCTTTAAAAAAAAAAAAACCTGTGGCGTCATCTATGATGATTCCATTGGTTTACGCATGTCACACTATGGCCTGTGCGTTCGCTTCGTTTCTTTCACTGTCAATGGTTCGCGCTTGGTGATGGCTGCGGCGCGGCTGCTTGTGAAATACGTCTGTATGAGCCTACATATTTTCGAAAACGAAAAATAGGGAATCGATGCTAATGGCCTTTTCTCGGAGCGTGTCCAGCTCGTCACGATACGCCCGCAGCGAACGCGTGTCACACAGCAACTGCAGGCTCTGACAAACACACCGAAAGTGGGACAAAACGGCGTGGTGTTACAGAGCTCACTCAGCGCTGACATGTAATCTCGCGACAGACTCGACAGCGCAGGGAGGAAGTGTTTGCTTGCGCCACCCAATTGTCAGCGCGGCGCGAACTAATCTCACCAGTGCCGCGCTGACCAATAAAACAGCACATCCCATACCGAAATGTACTAAATTGCACTAAAGAAAATCGACCATTCCATAATATGTCAGGACTACTTAATATAGTTTCTACAATGCGCCTAGCCATTTGACCTCACTAATTTCCGTTAATAATAGCAGAGGTTTATGGGTCAAATTTAAACGAATGGTGCCAAATGCGCTGTTTTATTGGTCAGCGTGGCGCTGGTGAGATTAGTCATTTTAATTTCTTTGTTTCCCTCTGAAAATCCACTTTCATTGAAATCTAGTGGCTTCTTTTTTTATTGATTCTGCCTGTGGTTTATATAACCTTATTCTGCATCAGACAGAATAAGGTTATATAAACCAACATGGAGATGTTGTGCGGCGTCATTCACGCCCTCGCATCTTCCCTTCCCAGATAGGCGCTGCACTCTTTACCGTCTTTCACTGGATTTCACTCGCGCCCGGTCCCTATAGCTCTCATCTACACATTTTTGAGCAGTCCATGTTTGAGCTCTCCTCAGGACAGCCACTGCTGTTCACATGAGCAGATGACAGCTCTCTATCGAGACAGCAATAGTCCTGAGTCAAACTGCTCAAGCCATTGATAAAGCTGCCAAGTCATTGCGTGGGCACTAATAAAATGCTTTCATTGCGTGAAAACGTCACCGTTATTTTCTTTAAGATAAAATACTGAAGTTGTACGGAAATGGGTCATACCATTGACATTACTCGTCCTGAGCAGTTGGAGTAAAACCCCACTTATTCAAGGGCACAAATTTATTGCATGGAAAGAGCAAACACATAATCAATCAATCAATCAATCAATCATAATAGGTGTGTAAAATGCATGCGCACAGTTCCAATGAATCATGAATGATAAATGAAATTGAACTTAATGTCGTTAAACTGAATGTACGAAGGAAACTGCTGAAATAACTACAACATTAATACAACTGAAATAAGAGCGTGTGGTTTATCTATCAATCAGATGCACATTAAAGTTGTGTTCCTTACTATAGCAAAAGTAGATACCCGGCTCGTTTTCTTTCAGAACCATAAGGAAAATGTTCTGTATAAAGAGAACAAAGAGGGCTTTTCTTACTATTCCATGAGGAAAAGATAGTTTAGGTTTAGTTGGGAAAGTGCATGATATGTTTAGGTAGTCTCTCCATGGAAGCATGTTTAATGTACCGGGAACACTTTAATATGGTTGTGTATCCATTAACACTATCCTACAGAATAGTTTGCATGAACTAACAATACTTTTAAAAGCCTTTTTAAATCTTGGCTAATGGAAATTTCTACAAATGCCAATTTATAGGCTATTAAAATAAAGTTAATAATAATAATAGCATCATTAAAAACTAACATTACCAATGGACAATTTTATTTTTATCCCCACTCTCTGACTCTCCCTGGACGGCTGGACCGTCTAGGGCCAGCCGTAACATAAATGAATGTGCGCTCACTCACAAAGATAATGTTCAACAAATGTAGTGATATAAAAATATAGTGAAAACCAGGGATGGGCATTTCAAGCAAAAATAATATTGAGTGAATGAGTGCATTCACACCGTGAGGAGGAGCGTCGCGTGAGCAGCAGTGAAGCGGGGGTTCGGCGCCGAGTCTATTTTTGTTGTGATCACGCTCATTTAAAGTGAAAGCACACTTTTGATGGAGAAAATAAATATGATTTCACACAAAAAGTGCCCAAAATGCACAGAATTTGCATGTCTAGTGTGCTTTAACAAGAACTGGAGTAGGCTACGTCAGAAAAGAAAATGAAGACTCAAAAAATAAAATTATAAATTATAAAATAAAAATATTTATACAAGATTTAGCCATTTAAACTTGTCTTAATTATTCCGTTTGGGTAAAACTATATGTTTTATAAATAAATAAAACGAGCAAACTAGTCAGAATATAAGCTTTTCTTTTAGTTTATGTAATAGCCTACACAGACAGTTAGCCTACATGCCCAAATCAAACCCGAGTGTACTTTTTTTTAAATGTTTGCTGTCTTGTAAACATATCGAAGTATGACTGAAAAGACAATATCAGAGCTGTTTTCTTGGTTGTTTTTGTTGTTAACCATTTACATGCAATTGTTGTATACTTCCCATCTTAACAAACTTCAAGAATCAAGTTTATTAATGACCAACTTCTAAAAAGAGAATGTTTCTTTGTAAAGAAATGCGCGCACACACGCACGCACACACACGACTTGTTTAAATACATTTATGTTGTTAATAAATAACAATAAATAGTTGTTGTACCAGAAATATTTTTCACTGTAGAAATTTCAAATGTCATGATTTGCCAATGCAAGAGAGTACCGGCACCTTTTCCCCCCCACTTCAAGCACTGCTCGGTACCACCGGTACTTGGTACCTTGACGTTTACAATTTTTTAGTACCGACTTGGTACCGAAGTACCGAATATTTTGACAACACTAGTGGCAAGCTTTATGCGTGCGCTTGAGATGCGGAATAGGCAATATATTACGAAAACGCTCATTATGGTTTAGTATTCTCTCCCATATATATTTAAGTAATTAAATTAATGTAAATATGCGATTAGACTAATGGCTTAAATGAGCAACTACTAGTCGACTAGAAAAAAACTTAAGTCGTGGACGGGCAGCCCTACTTATTTCACTTTCATTTTCGAACCAGCATGTCACAGAGGGCATTCTGGATTGTGCGAGCGACCCTGAGCAGAATGAACAGGCGGAGCGGAATCTTAAGAAATGCGCTCTCTACTCTGGAGGAAATATTACCACTCCACTCACATGCTCTGGTGTGAGACAATGTGCTCTTCTTCTGTTGTCTGAGAGTTGATTGACAGCTTTTAGATGCGTTATTGGCAGCGTCACCCTCTGGTTACATGAAAGTGTCACCACCGCATCAGAACCGAAACCATGGGGATTTTTTTAAAGACAATAATCGCACAACCTATTCGATATTCTATAATAAAATCAACTAATCGAATATTCGAAAACCGTGACTCATCCCTAGTGAAAACCAGAACTAAAGGGATTAAATTCAGGAGTGGACAAGGCCAAAATAATATAAAACAAATTCAGAATCGAATTAATCACATCGAATTTTAATGTGAATCGTCTTGAATCAAATCGTTCTGAATTTGCAAACATCGTTCTTGAATCGAATCGAAAACCTATGAATCGTGAATCGATTCGCTGTCTACCGAAAGATTCACAGCTCTACTGTAGACTGATTTTTATGTGAAGGACTCGGGATGTTTTTGCCAGAAATATCTAAAGTTTTATGCATGCTCCTGAGAGCCTCACTTCCATTCTGTCACATGAAACAATTAAACAAATGCTTATACTGTACTGTAAAGTCAATCTGTCATGCAAAGAAAAAGGATTAACTCAACATAGCCAGGTCTATAGTCTCTAATATACTTCATAATCAAACTATCATAACAGTGTAAATTTAATTACCTCATCTGTCGACATGATGCCGGTATATTGCAGAGCTGGTGCAAACATATCCACATCTCTATGATCAGATGCTTTCTTAACTGCCACTTTCTCACACTGTATTTTTTTGTTGCGTGTTTCTTTTGTTATTGAGAGGAAAGCGTGCAGCACATATTCGTTAACAGTATATCGCTGCCAAGGTATTTCAAACTTCTTTTTACTCTAAGCAAAGAATGAAAGAGAACTTTACAGTAAGTCTATCGGGGCCTTGAATCACGTTCAGTTTCTTACATTACGCGTACATAAGTGAGTTTAGTTGTCGGCTGCAGTTCACCTAAAGGCCACCAGTGTCGCTAATAACAAGGCTTTCTGAATTCTACATATAGCCTATTTAAAGTCCAGTATATTACCAAATAGTAAGAAAACACAATTTACACTGAGGGTTTAGTGGAGCACCATCTAAATAAAATAAAAAATTGAAAACTTTATGCAATATGCTGTTTTTTTGTTTGTCCACAGTTTCTGTACAATAATAACACTCGTCAGCAAACAGAGGCCAGAGACGACCTGCACTGTCCCTGGTGCACACTCAACTGCCGTAAACTCTACAGTCTGCTTAAACACCTCAAAATCTCCCACAATAGATTCATCTTTAACTACGTGGTGAGAACAGAAGAACACACTATCATGAATATCTGCCTGCTTCGTTTCAAATATGAATACAACCGTTTTTTAGTTTAATACTTGGAGTAACAGTCCTTTTATATTCATTTTATAATTGCTAATATAGTTAGTGTATGCATGAACTTTTATTGGCACAAGAACTAGGGATAATGCAATAATCATTGGCTGTGTCTCTTAAATTTCCTAGACAATTTAAAGAATTCAGTCACATAACTAAAATTTTCCCTTTTTTCCAGCCTCATCCTAAAGGTGCTCGGATAGACGTTTCCATAAATGAGTGCTATGATGGCTCATATGTCGGCAATCCACAAGACATCCACAGTCAGCCTGGCTTTGCCTTCAGCCGCAACGGGCCTGTTAAAAGGACAGCTGTCACCCACATACTTGTGTGTCGGTATGTAATGGGTCTGAATGTGTCACAGTATTTTGGGGAAAAAAAATGTTTTTGTTTACTGTAGGGTTATATATATATATATATATATTTACACAATTGTAATTATTCAACCCCCATTGCAAATCAGGTTTTTAGGCAAAATTTATAGACTTTCAGCTGTTTGCAATGAGCAAGTCAAACAAAAGTAATTGAAATAGCTCAACACAGTAACTTCACAATAACTTCAGCAGTCTCAAAATTATTCAACCTCTTCATGGCAAGCATCTTTAGTACTTAGTAGAACACCCTTTTGCTGTTATGACCTGCTGCAAATGAGATGTATAACCAGACACTAGCTTCTGGCAGCATTTCTGAGGAATCTTAGCCTATTCCTCATGAGCAATGGCCTCCAGTTCAGTAATATTCTTGGGTTTGCGTGCTGCAACCGCCGCCTTCAAATCCCACCAGAGATTTTATATGGGGTTCAAGTCAGTGATGGCCACTATAGAATCTTCCAGGACTTCTTCTGCAACCAAGCCTTGGTGGAATTTGAGGAATGCTTGGGATCATTGTCCTGTTGGAAGGTCCATAGATGCCCAAGCTTTAGCTTCCTCACTGACGGAATGGCATTTTCTCCTTGGATTTCCTGATACTTCAATGAATCCATCTTGCCTTCCACACACTCCAGGTTTCCAGTGCCAGAGGATGCAAAGCAGCCCCAGAGCAACACCGAGCCATCACCATGCTTAACTGTAGGCAGAGTGTTCTTTTCAGCATATGCTTCATTCCTCTTTCTCCCAACACTTCGGTGGTTTATTTATATGATTTTGAGCACTTTTCTTTGGCTTTTGGGTCAGTTGTGGTGTAAGTCTTGGAGTTCTGGAATGGAAACCGCGTGCGTTTAGTACGCGCCTTACTGTGCAAGCTGAAACCTCAGTGCCTGTTGCCACTAAGTGTTGCTGCAGGTCTTTTGCAGTCACTTGAGGGTTTTTCTGAACCTGCCTTCTCAGAAATCTGGTTGCAGCCATTGATAGCTTCCTTTTTCTGCCCCGTCCAGGTAATGTAACCACTGTTCCTTTAACTTTGAACTTGCTTCCAACGGTGTCTCTTGGAAAATCTTGTTCCTTCGCTATCTTTTTGTATCCTGTTCCTTGTTTGTGAAGGGTGATGATATCTTCTCTTAACTTTTGGGACCATTCTTTTGATATTTCTAACATGCAGTCATGCAACCTGATTTTCAATGGGGTTTGAATAATTTTGATTACAACTGTGTATATATATATATATATATATATATTTATTTGTATATGTATGTTTATATAGTTTTTTTTTTTTTTTTTAAAGTCACCATGAAAGCAGAATTGACAATTTTTAATTGTTTATTGAAAGTTGCCTCATAAATGAATAATCCGTCATACAAATATATACTGTATATATATTTTAAATGGCACGAGAGCCAGGCATTACACTTGTCCAATATCAGATTAGGAGAATCCTTCCCCTTCCAGCATACTGTCAATCACATGAAACGATTGTAGCAATTAGCAAATTACAGCGATCAGTTCCAGATTAACAAATCAAGCCCCACCTATGTCTTTTTTTCTTCGTTTGAAAAATTGTTTTACTAGGATATGTCACAATAATGAAGAAAAGACTATCACAATTTCCGTTTAATTTCGACCTTAAATCAATGTTATAATCAATAAGTGTTTTTCAATCTCTGACAGCTATTTAAAATCAGCTCATTTGATTTTTAAATTGTTTGGGTTTTGAATTGTCTTCAGTTTGGATGTCAAAATATATACAGGATGTGCACATTGAATAAGCCAGAATGCTGTAAAGGTATTTACATAGAACAAAATCGGGGTAAGTCGAGTCAACTTTATTTACATACCTCTTTATTCAATGCATATTGTTTTAAAGCAGCTTTACAGTGATGAATAGGAAAATAATGACATGTTGTACCAAAGTCTTCCACTGTGGTTTTGCTTAAACCATTATCCCCAGTTTCACAGACAAGGCTCAAGCTAGTCCCAGACCAAAGTGCATGTTTGAGCTGTTTTAACTGATAGCAACTTGCACTAATCCTGGTTTAATCTTAGCCCTGTTTGTAAAACCGGGCCTATGAGTTTTACTTGATTAAAAAAAACACTGCTTAGGGCATTTACATCACCTTACATATTTTTGGCGTATTGAGCATAATCGATGTATGATATGCATGTATTGTCACTCTTGTTCTATTTGTTGATAAAATCAATGGTGCTGCAAGCTCTTAAAATTTAATACAGATAAATGCAGAACATTCCTGTTGTATTTATACCCATGGTTGTTTAATCTCCCACTTTTTTCACTTAGGCCAAAGCGAACCAAGCCAAGCCTGTCTGAGTTTTTGGAGTCAGAGGACGGTGAGCCCGAGCAGCAGCGGACTTATGTGAGCGGACATAATCGTCTGTATTTCCACAGTGACAGCTGCATGCCCCTCCGTCCACAGGAGATGGAGGTGGACAGCGAGGATGAAAGGGACCCAGAGTGGCTCAGAGAAAAGACCACCACGGTTAGTCTACTGGTCAATCAAGTTCCATTCTCAGCACGGAAATAATATATTTTTGCATTTTGAATGAAACAGTTAATTCTCTTTTATATGTATAGATAATATATAAAAAATCATTCTTTCACTCACTGAAACGGTTCAGTTCTTGCACTATGTTCTTGCACTGATAGTATGTTTTGTTTTGCATGAAGCAAATTGAAGAATTCACAGATGTGAATGAAGGAGAAAAAGAAGTAATGAAGTTATGGAATCTTCACGTCATGAAGAATGGGTAAAAGAATACATTCATATTGTCTTTTCTTTTCCTTATATTAACTGTTTAAGTAGCTTTAAAACATTGATCATAGACGTACAAAAACACTGTTGCATCTTATTTGCTAACTGTCCATTCTCCAGATTCATTGCTGATAATCAGATGAGTCAAGCAAGCATGCTGTTTGTGGAGAACTGCGGGCCACACATAATTCGCAGGAATCTGTGTCGGAACTTTCTCCTTCACCTGGTCAACTTGCATGACTTCAACCTGGTCACCATAGCAACCATTGACCGGGCCATGGCCCGTTTGAAGGAGATAGAGGAGTCACTTCCTGAACTAGAGGAGGGGCAGGAGTTGTCGGATGCCACTTGCAATGGTCACGCAGTGTCCTCGGGTGTTTCACTACATGGCAAACGCACCAAAAGTGGAGTCTCAGACTGACAACAGCTGGTTTTACAAAAAAATTATGAACTGAATCAATGACCTATGTTTTGAACTCAAATTCTTCATACTTATCCCTTGGAATCATTTTATTGTTTTGAGGTCTAGAACTCTCAGCCAGCAGAGTGGCTTAGAACATGAGTTCTATTTCTGATCTGCCCATATGCTCATTTATAAATAAGGAGCCCATTTGAGACTCGATTGTGAGTTAGCTGCTGGTATTAAGAACTGACGCAAGTGCTTTTGAATGAATTAATGCAATTTTTCAATGTTTTCCAGTGCAGTGTTTCATAAACCATTATCATTTCAGCAGTCATGTGTAGAATAGTCTTTAGTTTTTTTCTGAAAAGAAGTGTTACTGTAGAATTGGGAGTACTGTTAATCAATATTTTCCGTACACATTTTGACTTTTTTTAACCACTGTGCGTTCAGTGACTATTTAGCACATTGTAGCACTTGTGTTACTACTTATTCAGTGGCTGTAGATTCAGAATTGTTGACATGGACTCTTAAGTTGTGATATTCAGGTTTCTCAAGTGGGATTTGAAAGCTAAACAGCTTTGCATTTCCTTTTTTTTATAACATACAGATGCTCTTTTATCGGTTTTAGATTGGACCAATCAATATATACATTGCATTCTGTCAACAGCTTCTTGTCTCACATGTGAGGTGTTAAGATCCTTCCATCTTAGAATGGCTTCTTCTGTGTATATTTTTTTTCTTTTTCCCCAGTTCTCTTCTTAATCAGCAATATAATGCACACCCTGTGAAAAGAGAGCTGCCTGAGTTTGGGCAACAAGAAATCCTTGTTTCATAAATCTTTGTAAACAAACCTCATTATGCCATTTAGAATGAGGATCAGGAATAATTTGTAGGTCATGTCAAACCGATGTTACTACTGGTAATGTGGTTATATAATAGTTTGTTGCTATTATAATGTTCTGATGTTGTACATGCCAAAGTATATCAGATACAGCATCCTTACTCCTTCAATTTGTTTTCTTTGCAAAATGCACAAGTTTGGTGTACACAAGAAAATTATTTACAAATTAAAGATGTGTAAATGCTCGGTTTAAATGTATTTAAATTAGTTGTGTTCAATTCAAAAATGCAATGGGACCACCTATTTTGGAAGTTATTTTCATTCTATACAGCATGATTTCACGCCAAAACATTATTTACAATATTAGAGCAACAATTAATTTACAAGTAAATACTCGTTTTTCTTTTTAGTTTTTGCACCCGTGAAGCCACGCCTCCGTGGCAATCATATCCAATGGGCGGAGTGAGCGTCATACGTGGAAGGCGTCGATGACGCAGCCCAGCCCATTTTTTCTGGGCGCGAGATTTATTATTAGACCGTAAGATCTTGGTCCATACGAGAAATCTAACAATTCCGTGATTTTAGGCACAAAATGCGCACTGGAATCTTTGTAGAGCTATGACTTTTTATCCAAAGCAAGAAATGGGAACTGTTAGGCTAACTATGATATGAAGATACAACGGCTGACTGCTGCTTGTTGCAGTTAAAAGTGTTTACTGAATGCATTATATATCTATGATATATCTATGGCAACATGGAAACACCGTTCTTTCTACCTCAGCCTACTAGAACCAAGAACTCTTCCAGAAGTGTCTCCGACAGAAGGACTTTTCAATGCGGAGAACCCGGAGACGGAAAGCAAATGCAAAACCCAGGTGCACCCCAAACAAATAAAAACAGGCTGAAACGAACAAAAACACACAAAGGATTGGAACATTTTACTGACTGCGGAAACAGTCTAACCCACGTGACTGAGACCCCGGAGTCCAATGCATCTTGTGACGTTATTCTCATTAAAGGAAAACTATTTGCAGATGCTGCTATACCTGACGTCACTGGCGGTAAAGACCATTCAGTTTCTCTTCCTATATTACCAGATCTTCTCACAGAAAGCATAAGAAAAGAAGGACACCATTCTCAAACAGTGCAAAAAGTTTCTCCAATGCAAAACGAGGTATCTACAAAGAGGTCTCTAAAACGCAATAAACTGACATTAAAGAGGATGAGCAGCAACGTGGGTGTGCGGTTTGTCTCCATTCCTGCTGGTTCACGTGACATGAGCTTTAAGCCAGACATTGACCATTTTGCAGCTGATAAAGAGGTGTTGTCCAGATGTTTACGAATAAACACTAGTGAGGGGGACCGTTTGATGGATCAGCCAGAAGTTAACATTGGACAAATCCCAGAGAGCACAAAACATCATGAAAGTGGCCAAACCCTGACTCCCATCACGCCTCGGACTCAGCACATCTGTAGAGAAGCAACAAATGTCAAAATCCTCAGGGAAATGGTGGGTCTGCTGCTTCATGGTCTGCTTAAAGCTGTTTCACTGACATAAGAGTCTCTCTCTCTCTCTCTCTCTCTCTCTCTCTCTCTCAATTCAATTCAATTCAGAAAGCTTTATTGGCATGACAAAAAAATACATTTTGTATTGCCAAAGCATCAAAACAACATAGAAAATGATTTAGAACATTTAGTACACAAAATAATAATACTGATAGCATAAAACCATAATAATAAAATAAACAAAGATTAATAAATAAAATATAAAGGATTTAGAAAACATCTCTGTACAAAACAAAAACAAGCAAAAAACAAACGAACACTGAACTTGGAATTGAACATATACATGTGTGTAGGTCTTAGGCTGTGAGTGTGTGTGTGTGTGTGTGTACTGTGTAGGTCTAAGGCTGTGAGTGTGTGTGTGTTTATTGGATGTTTGCTGGTCTCTGGTCGTCCCTCAGGATATGGCAGGATGCTACAAATTTTGCAGCTATATATGAGCATTTGGCTTCTTCGCCAAGAATGAAACGGAGTTTTTGGGTTGGGTTACAGGTGTTAAAATGGGGAAATATTTGGTTAATTTTGGGGTAATAGTGGTCTCTGATGCGTTTATATTTTGGGCAGTCTGTGAGGAAGTGCAGCTCGGTCTCCGTCACTCCCAGGGTGCAGTGCGGGCAGAGTCTGTCCTCACGGGAGAGCCAGGTCTGTCTGCGCCGGCCCGTCTCTATGGCCAGGCTGTGCTCGCTGAGTCTGTACATCGTCAGGGTTCTCCTGAGTCTCACATCACTCACTGTGCTCAGGTAGTTCGCAACAGTGTACTCTCGATTTAGTGCCGAATAACATTCCAGTTTGTGTTGGTTTTTAATGGTGTTTGTCCAATGGGTGATGTACTTGTCTTGTTCTGTGGTGATAATTTGTGCGGGCCGAATGTGTGTGAGTGTGTGTGTGTGCTGAGGCGAGCTGATCTCTGCAGGAGAGAGCCCAGTCAGTCTCAGCACCCGCTGGCACAGGGGACTCCTCGCTACGCTCAGCTCTTGGTGTTGTAGGGCTTTGTAGTGGTATGTGTTGGGGTCGCTTGTTTTTAGGTGTTTCCAGAATTTGATGGCTCTTTTTTGGATGTTTAGAAGGAGAGGGTATTGGCCTAATTCTGCCCTGCATCCGTTGTTTGGTGTTTTCCTTTGGACTTTGAGAATTCGTTTACAGAAATCTAAATGTAGAGTTTCAATTGGATGTTTTTCCCAATTTAAAAAATCAAATTTGATAGAAGGACCCCACACTTCACTGCCATATAAAACAATTGGTTCAATTATTGATTTGAAAAGTTTGAGCCAAATTTGGATTGGGATGTCAATTTTGATTGATCTTTTTATGGCATAGAAAGCCCTTTGAGCTTTCTCTTTGAGTTCATTCACAGCCAAAGTAAAGTTGCCAGTTGGAGTTATTTTCAGGCCGAGGTAGGTGTATGTTTTTGTGCTCTCAATGGTTCTGTGTGATAGTGTGAATGTGTGTGTTGGTCCCTGAGATCTGGAGCGTTTCTGGAACATCATGACTCTAGTTTTCTGGAGGTTGACGGTCAGGGCCCAGGACTGACAGTAATCCTCCAGCAGATCCAGGCTGTCCTGAAGCCCCTCTTTAGTGGGCGACAGGAGGACCAGGTCGTCTGCGTAGAGAAGACACTTGATCTCGGTGTCGTGTAGAGTGAGACCTTGAAAGGGAGCATGTTCTAATATATCGGCTAATTGGTTGATGTAAATGTTGAAGAGGGTGGGGCTTAAACTGCAGCCCTGTCTCACTCCACGCCCCTGGGGGAAAAACTCGGTTCTTTGGTTTCCAATTTTAACAGCGCATTGGCTGGCTGTGTACATCGATTTGATCAAATCATAGAATTTCCCCCCTATTCCACTGTCGATAAGTTTTAGGTATAATCCTTTGTGCCAGATTGAATCAAATGCTTTCTTGAAATCAATGAAACAAGCAAAAATTTGTCCTTTGTTTTGATGTACATATTTGTCAATTAGTGTTTGTAATGTAAAAATGTGGTCGGATGTGCGACATTTTGGAAGAAAGCCAATTTGGCATTTACTCAAGGCATTGTGCTTCATAAGGAAGTCTGAAAGTCTGGAGTTTAAGACGCTGCAGAGGACCTTCCCCAGGTTACTGTTCACACAGATGCCTCGGTAGTTGTTGGGGTCTAATTTGTCTCCGTTCTTGTGGATGGGGCTGATGAGGCCCTTGTTCCAGATCTCAGGGAAGAACCCTACACACAGAACATCATTGAACAGTTTCAGCATGGCCAGTCTGAAGCTTCGGTCTGTGTGTTTCAGCATCTCGTTCAGGATGCTTTCGACACCACAGGCCTTCTTGGGCTCAAGGACTCCTAATTTTTCTTCCAATTCTTTCATTGTTATGGGGAAATCTAAAGGGTTTTGATTTTCTTTAATTGATCTTTCCAAATTGTCTAGTTTATTAATTATTTCATTTTGTTTATAATTTTGAATTTGAGTTGGGCTGTATAGTTCTTGGAAGTGGTTTTTCCACTTCTCCCCATCTTGGATTGCCAGAACTTCTCGATTTGGTTTGTATAACAATTTCCATTTATCCCAAAATTTGTGTGAGTTTATAGATTTTTCAATTTCTTCAAACTGGCTTTGCAGAAACTGTGCTTTTTTCCGCCGGAGTGTGGCTTTATATTGTTTTAATGCCTCACAATAAAGAAGGCGGAGGTCCGGATTATCTGGTTGTCTGTGTTTTTGGTTTGATAAATTTCTTAGGTTTTTTCTCAGAGCCTTACAGTCCAAATCAAACCATTTGTCTGTATCTAAATATTTTTTCTTTGGTTTAACAATTGACAAATTACTTTTTTTGTGCTGTTTTGTAGAATATGGTGTACAGATCTTGTACTTCCTGATTGATGCCGAATTGGTTTTTAGGGTATTCCTGTATTTGGAATGAATGTATGAGGGACTGTATTTCTGGAGATTCAATGGCAGTGCTGTAATTACTGGCACTGTTTTCAGTCCATTTGAAAGACATTAATTTGCTCATTTGATATGGAGTCTTAATTGGTTTGGGTGCTGTTTCAGATTGCTTTATATAGAGGATGATTTGGCTGTGGTCTGAGAAAGGTTTTAAGGGTTTGACTGTGAATGCTCTCAAAGAGGACAGGTCTAGATCTGTGATGGCATAGTCTACAGTGCTGTTACCAAGAGCTGAGCTGTAGGTGTATCGGCCGAGCGAGTCTCCTCGCAGTCTTCCGTTGACGATGTACAGAGCCAGTCCTCGGCAGAGCTGCAGGAGCTGCCGTCCGTGAGCGTTCACGGTTTCATCGCAGTTTTGCCTGCTAGGGTAAGAAGGGTACAGGTCGTTATTGCCAGTGATGAATCTGGTACCGTGCGATTCTAAAAAATCTAGTTCTTCTCCTGTTCTGGCGTTTAAATCACCCATAAGCAGCACATTTCCCTGGGCCTGGAAATGGCTGATTTCTCTCTCTATGTTTTGGAAAGTTTCCTCTTGGAAATACGGAGACTCGAGGGGAGGAATGTAAATTGCACAAAGGAAAACCGGCTTAGATGCTGATATCATTCCTTTTTGTATTTTTAGCCACAGGTGGTGCTGTTTTCTTTTGATTAATTCTATGGCCAGTTCAGATTTGATCCATATGATCATCCCTCCCGAGTCTCTCCCTTGTGTGACTGATGTGAGCTTTACTGATGGTAATATTATTTCTCTGTATCCTGAGGGACAGCCAGTGAACGCATCTCCTCTACACCAGGTTTCCTGTAGGACGATGACATCTAGGTCTTGAAGTTCTTTCATAAAATCTGAATTTCTACTTTTTAGGCCAAAGACTGAGGAGTTTAGACCTTGAATATTCCACGTAGAAAAACTAAGTGATTTCATCATAGAAAGTAATGTGTATGGTTTGTTTGCTATTTTGAGAAAAGAGAAATGATGCAAAATTACAATAGATTAATTTAAAACAATGAATGATGGAAGTAAAGTTATGTCAGGAACTCCAAAATATTAACAATTCCATATTAAATGTACATTAATACCACAGACTTAGTGGTGTGTGTTTTTTTTTTTTTTTTTTTTTTTTTTTACCACTGTCCACTGTGTGTTAGTAGGTGAGAGCAGATGATACTCAGCATGTGTTGTATGTCGTGGAGTTCAGTGTTGGCTCGGCCTGCTCCTCCGCTGACAGCTTGGGCGTAGCTCGGTCTGCCGGGCCGGGCCGGGCTCTGCTGTGGACGGGCTTCAGCTGCTGGAGCTGTGGGGCTGTTGTAGGACAGTCTGTAGGGGTCCTGTCTGGGTGCTGGTGCTCGGTGTGGTGCTCCGGGCGGGGCTCTGGGTGGTGCTCCGGGTGGTGCTCCGGGCGGGGCTCTGGGCGGGGCTCTGGGCGGGGCTCTAGATGAGCTGTGGGCTGGGGTGTAGTTTGCTGGAGTGTGTCTCGATGGGTTGACTGGGTTCGGGCTGGTTCTGCTCCACCTGGGGCTGGTCTGGTTGGTCCGGTTTAGAGTGACATCTTTGAGTCTCTTTGCGAGGATGTGTACCAGGTTCTTATAAAGGTGGACGTGGTCGTATAGACATTCAGTGTCCAGGTCTGGATGATGGGCCAAGTGGACGTTGGGCAGGAGGGCACAGTGTCTAGAGATGCTGGAATTAATTTTATTGATTGTGTTGGGATGGAAATCTCTCCTCTGGAGTAGAGTGGACAGGATGATTTTGGAGTTGGGGAAAGTTTGTCTAGCTTTTTCCACGACAGCTCTGAGGGAGTCAGACACTCGGTCCTGCTGGCTCCGCAGGTCGTTGGTGCCCGTGTGGATAATGATGTGGCTGGGCCGGCCTAGTTGGGACTCCGTCAGGAGCTCCAGGGCTTTGTCAGTGGTGGGACACCAGAATTTAACTGCTCTGTGTTGGGGGAAAAGTTTCTTTACATCGATGAATTTGCCGTTTGAATCGATGAGTAGAGCTATTTCAGGTTCCTCTGTGCTGGTTGGTGCTGGGCTGCTGTGAGACGAGGGCTGATGCTGCTGTGCTGGCAGGGGGCGCTGTGATGGCTGTGAGCGGTCTGGGTCGGGTCTCTCAGCGCTGACGGGTGGGTGTTGACTCCCTGTGTTCGGCGACTCTGGGGTGGAGGGCAGTGTTGGAGCTCTGTGGGTCTGCTCTGGTTCTGCTCTGGCCAGGAGGAGCTCTCTCAGCTGCTCTCTCAGGGCCTGGATCTCACCGCTCTGCTGCTCTCTCTCCTCCTGTATCTCTCTCAGCTGCTGCCTCATCTCTGCTGTGGACTGTTCTCTGTCCTCCAGCTGTAGTCTCAGTGCGGTCAGCTCACACTGATAGCTGTCCTTCTCTGTCTGCAGCTTTCTCGTCTGCTGTGTGAGGGCTGATAGTCTCTGTGTTAAGTGCTCGATGTTCTGCTGGAGTTCAGTATGAGCTGCACATGTGTCTGACTGCTGCTGTCTCAGCACAGTTTCTCTGAGCTGCACCATCTCCATCTCCAGCTTGGTGAAGTGCTCCTGTAGGAGAGGGATGGCTTTGAGCAGGGAGGGTGAGCTGTGCTCAACAGTTTCTGCAGGAGTGGATCTGAGATCTGATGTGCTGTTCGGTGGATTCTGCTCAGATGACAAGCTTTCAGATGGTACTGCTTTCTCATGTTTCACAAAATCACCTATTGTTCTGTAGTCCGCCTGGAATAATTTCAGGTCCCCCTGTACCATGACTGTGCCATTTTTATAGATGTTCACAGTTATTAATGTGCTGTCAGGGTCGTGTGGTTCTCTGATTTTGACTTTCCAGCCATTACAGATGCCTTCTTTCTTTACAGAGGGGTAATGGTGGATGATGGCTTTATGCCAGGCTCTGGGGTGATCAGAGAAGAAAATGAGGTTGCAGACTTCTCCTGTTTTGAACAGGTCTGCAAACAGAGTCTCAGGGTTGTTTGTCAGAAGTTTCTGCTTATAGGTTTTCCTTGCGGTGTCAGATTTCACCTCAGAGGGATACTGTATGGTGGTGAGGGGGGAGCTCATCTGCATATGGCAGTGGGCTGATTGCAGCTGCTGCTCTGATTGGCTGATTCTCTCTGCCTCAGTTGAATTGATACATTGAGGAATGCCAGAGTGTGGGCTAGCCATAGCTTTAGCTTTTTAGCATTTTTAGCTTATAAAAATATTAAAAGATCAATTTTATGCCCTTATATTTGGAAAAAATAAGCAAACAAGCCGAAAAAAAGATTTCCAGTGCAGTTTTAGTTGTACTCACTGCTTCTCCCTCTGTGAATCGGTGGTTCTTTTCCAGTTTTAAACTTTCCCTCCAATTTTCCAGCAGGCCTGTTGCTAGAAGTCTGATCTTCTGATCCTCTGCGTTGATTATTTGTGTTTAAAAATAAAAATGCTGTATTTTCTGGGTTCTTTTCATCAAAGTTCACGTCTGTATGTGGTATTCTTCTAGATTTTCGGTATATTTCTTTTCTCAAAATAGCAAACAAAGAAGAAAATCTAAGAGCTCATGGAGATCATGGCTTCTCAGCTTCTCAGCCTCACACTGTTCCCTCTCTCTCTCTCTCTCTCTCTCTCTCTCTCTCTCTCTCTCTCTCTCTCTCTCTCTCTCTCTCTCTCTCTCTCTCTCAAAAATACAGTTTGAATACTGTGTTGGAAAACGGGGTCTTCTAAAAGGTTTGACCACCGTGACATTTATCAGCAGAATTAAACCGTATTCGCAAAACAACAAATATTTATGTATGATTATGAAAATATCTGATTATAGTTGTTGATTATTTGGTGTAGTAGAACAATTTGCTCAGTCTTTGTGTTTATTTTTGTTCTCAGGTGTCTGGCTGGAGAAATGAATTTCCCAATGAAATCAGCAGTGAGTTTCTGGAAGAGATTCAGATACTCAATTTGCAGTTTCCCATCCACAGGTTTCTCACTCTTCTCCTGAGGAAGAGAACTGAACATGAGGAGGACTCGGAGAGTTCTGCTTTGGGTAGGAAAACAGACGGTTTTTACCAACAAATAGATGTTCGCAACCAACCTCTCAATATTTTAAAGAGGAAGCAACAGAAAGATCTTTGTTGTGTTTACAGAGGGTTTAAAACATTTACACACCACTATTATTTATAATTACTACTTTTTGAGATGTAAGAAATGAATCCTTTTAAATTCATGCCAGATCTTTTTCCACGTTTAATGTATTGAAAACGACAAAATTCATGTAACAAATAAATATAAACTTTTGAGGGGGGAATAAAAAGTAAAGACTTAAAATATCCTGGTTGCACAATTAAATTAAATTAAATACTTGGTTAAAACACCTTTTGCTTTTAATACAGCTGCCATAAGAGTATATCAACTCAATTTGTCCCACTCTTCCTTGCAAAAGAGCCTCAGATTGATCATATTGCAGGGTTTTTGCAAAGTGTTTTGTGACAGGTTTTTGTTTTTTTACTTTTATTGATCCAAGTTTTTCAATGTTGTATTGCCATACATTTTCAGACGCAGAAAAAACTGACGATTCCAAGCATCCTTCAGCTTCCTCTGTCCAGAGAAAGAGAAAACGAGAGGTTCAAGAACAGACGTGTGACAGGACATACAAAAGTCACAGGACAAACAAAGGCAGTATTTCTGCTGCTAAGTTGGATTTTCAGCAATTTTCAGATAGTTTGACGAACTCTCACACAAAATGCAGAAACCGACTTAGCCGAACAAAACGCAGACAGCAGCAAACTGCATTCTGTGCTGTTGTCACTGAACCAATGCAGAATGAGTCTGTTTATCAGGACCCGTGGCCCAGTTGTCTACAACGGCAGGATGCCCTCTGGACAGATAAATATAACCCTCAACAGTCTAGCGAAGTCATTGGCAACTCTGCATCAGTACGGCAACTACACAGGTGAAATGTCACTGTATTCATTTTAGACGGTAGCCTAGTTGTTAACCCAAAAATATGTTGTGATTTGTCTCAAGATTTTTTTTCATGGACCACAAAAGGAGCAGAATGTCCAAGCTACTTTTTTTCGATACAAAAAATACACTCCAGGTATCAAGTTCAACAAAAGTAAAAGTACTGTTAAATTAGTCAAGTCAAGTCTCCTTCATTTATATAGCACTTTTAACAATATAGATTGATTCAAAGCAGCTTTACAGTGATAATAGGAAGTTAAAGTAACATAGATTGTTTTGGCTTTCTAGAATAAAGTTATTGTCCAGCTAGAGTTAGTTTTTGATTGATTCACTTCTGTTGCAAAGATCGTTAGTTATTAACTTAGGGGCCGCTTACACGACACTGTTTAAACTGAAAACAGAAAACTTTTAATGTGTTCTGGCCGTTCATTTGCACGACAACAGTGTTTGGTGGCTCGAGAACGCAAACTTTGAAATGGGTTCCAAGGTGCAAGTTTTGAAAACTTTTGAAAATTGTTATCCTCTTCATGTAAACTTCAAAAACATGAATCTGTGAAAACGGCGACGGTGTGCACATGCCTATCACGTGTTTAGTCCATAGGTATGCGCGTTTTAATATATATGTGTGCAGGCGTGTAGTCCTTCTTTACAAATTGACCTCACCAAATCACTTAAATTAGTCCATACAACTTGTGTGCTATGTCACAGGTAACTCTGCTAAGTCTGATAGCTTTGTATGTAGAAAATCTACATTTTTGTAATTCATTGAAATTGTCCTGTTAAAACCTGTTGTGTTTATGATGCATTTGGTAACACTTTAAAATAAGAATAAAATAAAAATTTGCTCATTCATGAACAAACAATAAAAATATATTCTTATAGAATGTATTAACCTTTATTAATTAAAAAAAATCTTCATGTTCATTTTAGTCTACAGTGCATTAATTAGTATAAAAAGATACAACTTTTGATCTTAAAATTGTTGTATTGGTAAATGTTGAAATGATCATTATGATAAATGATAGAAGTATTGCACATTGTTAGTTCATGATAACTAATGTAGTTGTTAACTAATTTTAACAAGTTAAACCTTATTGTAAAGTGTTACAGAACATATGCATGTAGTTTCATATAGTTTGCATACAGCTGAAGCATAGCACACAATGCTATAGAAGAAGGTCGAGCAGTAGAAAAAATTACACTTAACTGGTTTTCCTGTGTTGAATGCGGCAGGTTTGAATGTGCAGAAGTATGAATGAGATTTGTGAGCTAGGGTGAAAAAATACTTTTTAATGAAGAAAAAGAAAAAAGATAACAAAATGCAAGTTTTTGGGTGAACTATTCCTTTCACAATTAGGGTGTATTACCCAAAAGGCACATTTATAAAGGGATGACCTGTGAATCAGAGGGCCTCAGCAAATAATAAAAAAAATGTAGAAATTGTTCCTATTTTATTTTATTTTTTATTATCAAGTAAATTGCAAATAACTGGAATAATCATGTAAATTCATTAAAATTTTTAAAATAAAAATAGTGGGAACCCTGAAGAACATTCTGCTTTTTAAACTTTTGGAATTTAGAAATGTTATTATTATATTTTTATTTAACTAAAATATCTACTTATTTTATTCTCTGAAAACTCATTTAGCCTTAAAAATTATTACCGGACGAAATGTATTAGCCTACATGGGGCTGGGGGAATTTGTATATTGTTGTGGGCAATAATGAAGTCAAAAAGGTTGAGAACCACTGTTCTAGCGGAACTTGTCACTAACAATAGAAACGTCTGATAAGTATTTTACTACTCACAATAATAATGGTGTTAATGATTAATATACAAGACACTACTGACAAACAGAACTGCATTTACATTTGTTCATTCTTATAATGACAGCTGGTTAAAAGAATGGAAAATAAGAGCAGACATTGAGGAGAGGAGAAGACGACAAGAAGAAAGGAGGATGAAAAAAGAAAACAGTAATGGTATGTAATTGCCAGAGAACCTGCAGTTATTGCAACAGAATATATATTATATTTGTCAAGCCTGTATTTTTCTGTAACAGAAATATGTGTAAAAACTTCTATTCCAATAGAGTCGTGGGACTGTGGTGATTTTGAGGGTGATACTGTATTCATAGACCATGAGAAGGAGCTGTGCAACACAGTGCTCATGATCGGTCCATCAGGAGTGGGCAAAACGGCTGCTGTTTATGCCTGTGCACAGGAGCTGGGATTCAAGGTCTCTGTGCAATATGTTTTCATTTTATCAGTGCATTCATCACAATAAGCATAATCCTGACTGTCTGTTAAACCAGCCATAATGACGCCTTCCTCTGTTCCATGGTCACACAGGTGTTTGAGGTGAATAGCTCAGTCCTGCGCTGTGGTCGTCTCATTCTATCACAGCTGACAGAAGCGACTCAGTCTCATCAGGTGGACATACAGAGAATTAAAACCCTCAAACCTGAAATCATTAACCAAAGCAAAATAAATCCTGCTCCACCTTGTGAGTGAACGTTTTAGTTCATACAGTATTAACTGATGAACCAAGAATTCATACTGTACTATGAACTAAAACGTTAACATTGACTACATCTCCCCTTTTTCCACAGGCGATGAAGCCAATAGAAAGGTTACTTCATCTAAGGAGACTTCAAGTTCTCCTAGTGTTTCCTGTCTAAGCGGTAAACCACAACCATTAAAACTCACTCACTTCTTTAAGTTGAGTAGCAAAAGATCTGTAGGTAAAACATCTGATGGACCTGAACGCTGTATTCATGGTAAGTGTACTAGACTAATTTAGTTTTAACTAATTTATTTTTGTTTTATAAGCACTTGAAAAATAGGCCTGTTTCACTAAAGCATTTAATAGATGTATATGCTTTGTCTGGGTAAAATAAGTAAGCAATGTATTGTATAAGACATTGTATAATGTCTGAAGAATAATAAGCATGCACTAGATAAACAATTGTCATTATTATTTTGATTATTCATTACAAATCTGATTACAACAGCTGTCGATCTGAAACCGGGTAGACTTCAAAGTAAAAGGTCTGGTTTTAAGGACAAGAGACAAGGAGATAAGGAGTTGGCATGTACTTCTAAAGATTCTACATCAGTTGGGCAGAGTCAATCAATCCCCATGTCACTCATTCTATTTGAGGAGGTAGAGTGAAATTGTATCTATGCTGTGCAGACTGAGTATGAAAGCATCATCAATGTTTTTAAATTAATTGTTTATTAGAATAGGAATAGAACTCCTTTCTATTTGTTCACACTTTTTTTAAGTATGCTTCCAATGTTAAATGTGTCCACCCAGGTTGATGTCATTTTTCCTGAAGATGTTGGATTTCTTGCAGCTATTAGGACTTTCATGAGCAAAACCAAAAGACCCATAATTCTGACAACCAACGGTGAGCAACAGTTTAAAGCATAAGATGCAGTTAAGCATATTTGTTTTTTAAAATGTTGCTTCCTTACAGACCCATTTTTTGGTAGAAGACTTAAGGGGCATTTTGATGAAATCCATTTCCAAACTCCTTCATTGGTGAGAAAAACCAACATATTTAAAATCACAGACATTGTAAATTACTGTTCACCTTTTTTACTGTCACAATAGCAAATTTTGATGCAATTGTTTTGATGATCTCTTATATGGCATTATTATTACTTTCGATTAATTGCATAATTATTTGAAGTAAAATGGTATGTATAATTTTGAACTCAGCAAACCATCAGGAGCTATCTGCAGTGCCTGTGTGTGGTGGAGAACATGAGGACTGATCCAGAAGACATGGCTTTTCTGTTGTGTCAGAATAAGGGGGATATCAGACGGAGTATTCTCCAGCTTCAGCTCTGGGTCTGTAGTGGTGGAGGGAGAACAGAACTACAAATTCTCAAGAATACACTCAAAGTAAGAAAGATTGACATTTATTTATCAAAACCTTTACTACTTTTCTACTTATTTTTCTCATAAATAACATTGTCTCTCCACCATCACCTACTGTCTACATTTTTTCAGTTGATGAGTGCAACAGTTTACTCTCTTTTTTGTGGGTAAGATAAATAATATTTGAGAGCATTATTCCTCAATCCTCCTCCTTCCTCTCAAATACCTTGTATCTTTAGACCAATAACCCTGGAGAATGTTTCTCCGATGACATTAGAAGATCTCACTAAACAGCCTCTAGTCCTCTGGATGTGGTACCCACTGCTTTATTTAAAAATGTAATTTCAAATTCCATCCCTGCCCCAAAATTATAAACATATTTTTAAATTACCTGCCCATCTGCATTCTACTGAAATTGCTCTTCTTAGAGTTTTTAATGATTTGTTAATGCAAAGTGATGCAGGTCAATGCTCTGTACTGGTTCTTTTAGATTTTACTGCTGCTTTTGATACTGTTGATCACTGCATAGTAACTCTAGGCTCAGAAAGTGTGTTGGTATCTCTGGAACAGCCTTGAAGTGGTTATTGTAATATTTATCAGATGAAAAATTAAAATCTATATAAATCAAATATAAATTTCTAACATTATTAAAGATAAGTAAACAATCTGTAACAAATAAATTCAGTATTCACGTAGCCTGTAACCACAGTTCTTCCTTGAAGATGATGGTTCACCACTATCTTTCCATGTTTTAAAGGGGTCATGAAGTGCATTTTTTTATTTTTTTTTATAATGTTTTGACCCCTTCTTCCAATCACTCAGTTTGAATGCGTGCCACATTCCAGGCTTGAAGAAAAGCCCACTGCTATGATTGGGTAACAGTTTTACATGTTTGGCGCGTGTTGCTTTTTTGACAGAGTAGGTCATCCGATAAATCTGAAGGATTTTAGGGAGATTACGGTGAACTTGTAGAGCCTTTGGTTATCAACACAACAATAACACAGTTGCAATAAGATTAATTTATTAAGCAAAAAGATACAAGAGTAAATTACCACACTTACTAGATACTACTAAAAGGAATGACTTAACTACTAAGATATTAAAGAATCCATAATCAAAACAGAAAATACGAACTACTAGTCAAGTCAAGTCATCTTCATTTATATAGCGCTTTTAACAATGAATTGTTTCAAAGCAGCTTTACAGAGATAAACATATAATTTAAGGTAACAGATTGTTTTGGCGTTATAGCGGTTCTTGAATAATGTTACTTCCAGCTAAAGTTAACTTTGATTGATTCACCTCCGTCGAAATGATCAGACTTTAAACGCGAACCTGTGATTAACGCTGACGGCGTTCACATGCTCATTCAGAATTCTATAGTTATGTGCTTTTTAAAATATGTGCGCAGGTTTGTAATTCATACAACCCAGCCTAAACAAACTACTTTTCTTGCCTATAAATTTTGATACAGAATTTTGTTTAATTTTATCACTTCGGGGTACGCGAGCCGGAATTCACAGCGCTTTATCTGTAGAGTGGGAAAGGGATCCTCCATAGGGAGAGGATAGTGGATACTTCAGCACTGCATTGTCATCGGGTCCAGGCGAATCTCCTTCGTCAGATCTGGACACGGCCTGGATCCGGCAGGCTGCAGGAAAACCTCGGGATAAACAAAGACACTAATATTAGCGTAGATGCCATTCTTCTTATGATGTAGCGAGTACATCAAGATTTAAGGGAAGTGTTCCCAGTACTACATAAACAAACATGAATGGCATGAATGCCAAGCAGACGAATAACAGATTGGACAAAGCAATGAATGGGTATGGGTAATAAGCAGGGTTATGGGGAAGTCTATTGTGGTTTCTCTAGAAGATTGTATGAATAGTATATAGGCATTTACTATGAATACAGGTAACATTTCTAACCTGTCTATCTGTTATAAGCTGGCCCTAGATAAGCAGTCTTTACACAACAGCAATGTCATCTATAAACCACAACCTAATGCCAAGGCCTTTGTAAAGAGGCACAGTTCCCTGGATGAACAAGGAGGTGTATACAGTGGTTAAAGTGGGATTTGGCAGGTGGGGGAACCCTCAAATTTTGTGTAGGTGCAACAGGGGAAAATGGCTCCCCGTGGGACAACATATTGAGTATCGTGGTATAGCAATACTTTTTGGTATAATTATCATCCACAGCCCCACCCACAGACATGTGCATTAAAATGTGAGGTATTTAGGGGGGTTCAGGGGCATGCTGCCCCGAGAAAATTTTGATTTCTCTGACCTACATATGTGCAATTTAAGACTTTTGAAGGCCCAAAAAATGGATAATAAATAGCTTTAAAACCATGTCAGTGAGTGGGCATTAGATTATTTTGTCAATACCTTCTCTCTCCTCGTCTACATCTTTCTTTTTCTCTCAGTCTCCTTATCCTGGCCTATTTCTTCCCCTCCTAAAGCTGAACTTTGACTGATAGTCTTTTCATTTTCGTCTCAGTGAAGAAAGTAAACATAGGCTTGATATTTATATGTTTTATGAATCATTGTCTTAAACAAGTTAATTTACTCGGCTACCAGGTCAGTATTGCCAATAGGAACCTTCTACAAGCTTTGGAATTTGAAAAGTAATTTTAAATAATACAAATTATAGGCTACGTTTAACGCAGTTGGTGCAATTGGCAGACGTTCCCTTAGGCATCATGCGCTGTGGAAACGCGTCAAAGCATTCTCAGGTATAAATATGCAGCATTAATGCACGTAGGTGATTTTGAACGAATATTTCATGTCGATATACAATGGTTACATAATGTTCAAACAAATCCTGCTATTGATATCTTTGTAAGACCCTATAGAACAGTGGCTAGGGAAAACAAATGTCAGGCGAAATATCGAACCTAAAACTAACTTTACCGCGCTCAACCACCGTGAGTGCATTTCACACATTTGTAATCACTCGCATTCAGCGGGGAGGAAGGGAGGTTGGTCGGTCGGTCGGCCCAGCTCGGGCCAGCGAGATTCGTCGAGATTAATGAATCTATTTATTTATTTATTTATCTGAGGTGCCGGAACACAGTTCCGGACCGTTCCGGCCCACTTTAACCCCTGGGTGTATAGGACATGTTCCTTTCAATTTTCAGTGTGTAGAGATTGTCTTTCTTTTGGGGCCTTTCTTTGTTCTGCCACTTGACGAGGTCAACTAGCCAAAACAAGTTTAATGGCCTTGAGAGAATCCATGGGCATTCACACCTTGGTCTCAGGGATGAAGGACTGGAGTGAACAAAGGGCAATTGGTGACAGGATTAGTCTGTGATCAATGGAATGCTGGTGTACTCATTCTGGCCCTTCACAGATGGAAATCCTGGCTCAGATGGTCATTTGTTTGTGGTATTTCTATGTTGAAGATCCTATCAAACTTTTGTCTTTTCATCACAGCAGATGAAAGGGGCTCCTGTTGTGGAGTGGGGAGCTGTGGTGTCATCTGGTCTGCTGTTCACTACATTCCCCTCTACCCTGGCAGATCGAGCCTGCGGTCGTTGATCTGACAGGTGTACTGAGGTGGAACAGTTAGGAAAACAACATGCCGCACAACATGCAAAACCATTGGGATTTCGGTAAACTCTATTACCATGGCTAATATAAGACAGACTTAGTGGCTATAAAGTTTAATTGCACCTATGACAGGTTTGACAGGAAATATTAGAGAAATTAGATTATTAAGGAAAATGATCAACTTAAAACTAGCCTCTGAAGTGGGAGACTCTAAGGGACAGGATAGCAATGCTAGTTGAGGACGTGCTGACTAGTCTAAGTAGTCTATGTTGCATGGTGTGACAGGGAAGCTGGGGAGTTGCCTACATGTGTTAGCCTATTTTGCCCTAACAGGTTTGCCTGAAGCGTGTGCACCTGCCAGTAAAGTACCCCCATCAGAGGGACGATGGTAATCCAGGCACTGAGAATCAAGATGAGCAATATGGTGTCACTGATGTTCCACCCCCAAGTTAGTGCCGCTGTCTTCGAGTTTGATTCAATAGGCAAAGCATGGAGACTATGAAGTTGGTGACTGAGTTCTGTTAATTTAGGTCCTTCAGACATAATTTGGTCTTGAAGGAGTCTATCTTCTTCAAGAGTTTGTCCATTAAAGGCCTTAACTATTTCAATTTCTACATCATATCTCTCATTATCCAGGTGGTACAGGGCTAGGTGGTCAATATGGAAGATTGCTCCTTCCGGGATTTGGATTAGCATGGTCTGGTTTGGCAAGTGTGTCGGAGTAGTTGAATAATAGCGGTCATATTATCATTGCTTCGCCCACTGGTGTGTTGACCAGCCACTTGTTCTCTACCCTTTAAATTTTTGTGATAGTTACATATTTCCTATGTGTTATGACAGCCTTGCATTTGTTGTTGGGGCTTATATTTGCTTTATGCCGCGCAGGCCTTCAGTGGGGCCCCATATAAAAGGCTTACTCGGGCACAACCAGTGAATGTCCTTGACAGCAGTACACATCTGTAAATTTGGTATCAAATACATATCAGGATTTTCATCCTGGTAAGCAATTAGCGACGGTGTTTACAATTTTTACTTTAGTCCAAAATCCAATATTTATTACTGATTTTAGCATCAAAAATGGGAAGGATTAACAGGAAACCAATTTCACTACCTTCTGGGTCTACATGGATTGGTATGGCACTACTTGGACTATAGGCCAAGTATACTTGTCGCGTTTGGGTGGTTCCCTGTGTAGCCCGTCTCAAGATACTCTCTACCAGTTCCAAGGGTACTAAGTAAGGAGGGATTCTGTTCTCTGCTATTTTTTCCACAGCAGAACTTACTTCTCTAAGCAAATCTTCCATCAATGTGTGGACCATTTGTACATGAGCATAGTCATGTTGTATGACATCTAACCCTGACATCTTGCCCACACTGTAGATGGTATAGTTCAGGAGGGCTGTATGCTGATTCACTGCAAGAATTGTACCCTCAAGTGTCATGCCCAAATTTTGTAGCTGCCTCTGCTGA